AGTGTTATTCTCCATTATTTCGAGACAACGCAATCGCATAACAATGCAATTCAAACAATTTTGCATTCCATCGAACATTTCGGAATCGAGTATCGATATTTTACGTATGTTTAAGTATACGTATACGTATTTACATACCTTATTACAATAGATGCGTGTACACGTAAACGATATGCGCATGACGTGCAATCACAACTGAACTACGATTAAGCAATGAATAGGAATAAAAGCGCAATAATATTAATAATAATAAATCAAATAAATTGCCAACCGACATCGCACGTCAAATAAATTGAAATATATAACGAATATTATGATTAATTGTTGTCGGATACAGGTGGAAGCATACTTGTGTGCGATTGATGGATCTTTTTGTTTATCTATGCACCATCAAAATTTTATATTTTTGGGCATATACCGGATTATTTCTATTATTTTGTGATAGGATTCCTTATTAAATATATACCAGGATATGTTATTGCATAATTCATTTTATTTCAAAAATTAAACCGGCCAAAATTCCGCAATATGCATCAACATTTTTTCAAACATATCTTCTTCTTTGTAGTGCTACCACATAAACTTAGAAATCATATATCAGCATGTTATCTGCAGGTATTTGTACGGAAGAATGGCGGCTAGATAACCGAAAAGATCTATTTTGATTAATTATTACACACACAATGTATTTACGTCTGATAACTAAATTCCGAACCGTACATTATTGTAGTCTTATAATAAAAGTAAAGACAATTTTTTTCTCGTATGATTATGATATGACTATGATAATAACCTGATTTTGGAAATCGTTAATTTTTCGATTTCAAGTGAAACAAATGGCGTGTTGGAGATCCGTTGGAACTGGAGACCGTTTATTTCATCCGTACCTAAGCCGAGATCAACTAAGTGTACGAATATATTCACTTTTCGCCATAGTAAATATTGCTGTGGACGACTAATATTTTAAAAATAGATATCATAAACGAATAAGATTAGAATATGCTCTTGTCGTGTTGTTAAATTTCGAACTAAAATCAATGTAAAATATCTCTTATTCGGATACGAATTGTGTATTTTAATACAAGTATCCAAAATAAAATAAATCGAATAATATTTAATAATTATTGTTAGCCGATAACTATCGACGTGATTCGATCGACTACAGCCAAAGCCTGATTGAGGCATTTTGAAGCCCTCAAAAAAAAAATGAATAATATTTACCGATTGTGCTTAGTCACAGAAATAAAAATTCATAATATACTAATGGGTTTCCTCAAGCTTTATAGTAATTATTTAGACGAAGAGTTGTGGCAATTCAGCTGGGAATATCGTAGTCTTTCTTAATAATATTTTCGCTTGGTACACTTGCTGAGCGTTGACGATTAACAATCTATTAGTCACGTTGAATACTTAGAAATATAATTGTTACATTTAATTAGTTATTATCCCGTTTGCTACCCTTATTATAAAAATTTTTAATTAATGTATATTTATTATCCTGTGTAAAATCAATACATTTAAATTCGCATAAATTTCAACGTGGCACTTTACTTTAGTAGCTAATTAATATTTTCTTCGTGTTTATTATCAGAAAAATATACTACAGCATTGACATTAGCCGCGAATATATTAAATAACAGATTGCTAGTATTGTAACCAGTTATTAATACAAATAGGTATTATTTCAAGAACACAAAGTTATCTTCTAAGTATAATCGTTTTGTTTTGACGCACATTGCTAGAACACTTAATTTTTATAGTTATTGTTTGATTTTTTTTGACGGATAAATATAGATTTTAATACAAAAGAGCAATTTACGTTAAATAAATTATAATAGAATAGAAAAAAAAATAAACTTTAAACTTAGTAAAAAATTACGCAATAGATCTCACCATTCATTGTGATTATTCGAACAAAAAATAACAAATATTTAATAATATTATTTTGAACAAAATAATGAATGAGAGAAATAAAAATATTTAGCAAGTGTGACTTTCATTGTGTTTAATAATGAGCGAATAATTAGAGAAATGAAACCTTGACACAAGCCGTTATAGTATTGTTATATATGTATTTATTATAAGTATATAAATGCAACATCATCATTACGAAAAAGATTTTAAGCTCCGTCAGTTTATTTATATTTTTTATTAAATCAGAAATTAACAAATAACGTGCATAAAATAATATGATGGACGAACGACATATTATTTATGTTTGAAATCGGTGAGTTCCACTTAAAATAATAAATTGAATATTAAAAATAAAAATAAAAAAAACTGGTAAATATTATATTCTGCAAAACACAGTAAATATCTATAATATCTGACCAACTTTCCAATATTACAATCTAATATAACATTTTCCGATTTTAAAATGATTTGTTAATCGTAAATTCGATAAATTGGCGTTTGATTTATCAACGACTTACTATGGAAATCGAAGACAACTTTTACAGAGTCTTATCTGTGTTTGATTAATTTTAACAAGTTTTCATTATGCACAACTTTCAATTAACTAAAAACATAAAAATTACTTAATACCATTAACATCATCTTTAAAAAATAAAAGTATTTTTAAAAACAAAAAATTTTTGAAACCTTTAATCGCATGGAATCATATTATTACTGGTAAATATTATTATATTCGTTTGGTATTACAATATATACGGTGTCTGGTCGTAATGTTTTTCGAACAAATATGATAGTTTTTATTTTTGACCCACTTAAAGTGGCTGCACGACATCCAAAAAACTGACAGTGTATAAAGTATTTACACGCGTGTGATATATAAAATATACGCATACATAAATATATATATATATTTATACATAGAAATAAATTTCGTAGCCTAGGGTATTAAGATGTGTCTGGTGCAATCGATTCAAATTAAAAATTCATCGTCGGGTAAATCAAAAATTTGTAACTGAATATGAAGGAATTAAATGAAGGAATACACCGAGAAAATTTGGTCGTTTAACACACATCATCTTAATACTCTAGGTAAACTACACGTTTTATTTACTTAATTATTTCTACATATAAGCTATTTATTTTTATATTTATTTACGATTATTAACCGTTTACTAATTTTTGTTCTATCTTATTAAAACAAACGAAAAACATTTTTATTTATTTATTCCTCCTCTCCCACCCCTACCATTGCGTTTGTACAATGTCCTTTCGCAGAGCGGTTATTATGTGTATTGATAGATGACACAAACGAAGTCGGGTCGATTTAAACACGATTTCCGTGTCACATTTTTTTAGAAAAGAAAACCCACGCGACTGTTTGTGACGACACACATAGGAATATTTTTATGATATAACCGATCAAGATTATTTATTGCTACCGTTTATAGTCATCTCATTTTTCATTTATTTTTCTTTTGTAGCTCTTTGAGATTTAAATTTATTGAAAAAACTAATATGTCAAATGATACCTTCTACACAATATTTTCTATCAGAAAAATATGTGAATCTTTCATCAAGAATCTATTTTTTTACATGAATATTTTTACTTAGAAATATAAAAAAAATCTAAGTAAAATAATAATAATTTTTTTTGGTATGCTCGGAATTAAAATGGCGGATGTTTACGGAAGATTTTACGATAGAATGTAATTGTCACTAGTCTTAGCTTGATGTCCATAAATAAAATATAATCTGACAATACTCTCGAGCTCATGAACGAGAACACTGTTGTCTACCTGGTTGTCTAATAATTTTCCGGTTAAAATTAGCACCTATATTTATTATTTACTAAATCAATTAAGTTTGAGTAAAAGCCTAATGCAATCAGTAAATCAATAAATGTTCGTCATGCGAATTTTACTTGTGTTTTGAAAAAAAAAAACGTTCGCGTTCCAACTCTACCGCGCAACAGTGAAATTTTAAAACCTACAAATGAAAGTGCCGAAATCCAATTGCACGCGACATATCAGGTGGTTAACAGTGGGCTACGACCGACGAGTGACATAACCGTGTTGATAACTGTTCGACGGACAGATCGGGTGCAATGTATTCGAAACAGTGGCGCTGATGACGTTCTCCGATCGACTGAGCCGCTCTGATTAAAGAATGACTCATAACGATTAAACGACAGTTACCTTTGTTCCTGATCCACGTTCGGTGAGTTTAGTTTGAAATATAAATAAATAGACACTTTTAGAAGTATAAATATTAATTATCAAAATTAAGACAGAACGTACTGGTAGCCTGATAAGTCAATATCGTAAGAATAACTCTACCGGTCTATGCTTCAGTATGGTTAAATCATATCTGCTTAATAGGGTGACTACGGTCTACATAGAAAGGGGTAGCCCCTAAACGAACGTGTTATTGAAAACAAGGAAATTACGTATATTCAAAATTCGTCTCGTTCCAAGTATTCAAGATCACGTTATTGTTCGAAAACAAAGTAATAAAATGTAGATACGCTTAATACCAAGAAATGAATATAAAATAAAATACATTTTTTAATACAATTTTTTATATTACATTTTTATTATATGTAACTAGAACTAAAATAAGTGCAACTGATTATAAAATGTTTTATTTTATTAAAATCGATGGGTACTAGGCTCTATTTAATTTTGAATATAATTTAAAAATTAACTATTTAAGCATTTTTCACAATCACGTATTTTATCATTATATTTTAAATCATATTTTTATGATCGAGTTTTTCATATGTAGGTATTTTTATAATAGCTGTATGTTTTTGTTTTACACCGTTCAAATTTTAAGTAATAAAGGAAAAACTATAATTGTACGCTTCAATAACATTTTTTTAGACTAGAAAAATATTTACATTAAAAAACGGCAATTTTTTTAGTACTCAAAGCGGCGCAATGATTAAATCCGGCACTGCCGATCGTGATTCGCGATCTACCGTGTGCGAATGCTCGTACGTGCGACGCGCGTAAAACTAAAACGGTGGTGACTTTTGCCGTGGCACCTCCCCATTCCGGCCACCGCCCACAACCTGTCCAACTCACCTTGAAATCGTTCCAGTGCGGATCCAAGTGCGGGGAATGCCTTGGCTTCACGGCGGTAACGACTCCACAATATCCACCGAGCACCGGCCCTAGGAGCAGCAGCACGCGCCTAGAACAGGATGATGAGACGGATAAGAAAGGCGACGGATTAGACGTCTGAACAAAGGACGGGTTTTATCATTCACCAAAGGAAGGGCTAATGGAGGTTCAAGGATTCGGTTAATTGTTTTTTAAATTTATGTACAATTTTAAATTACAGAACATGTTTTTGAATCCTTCATAAGTAAGTCATTGTTTTCACAATAGTGACAAATTTTAAATAATTACATTATTAGTATCGATTTTAATCTGAAACCAATTTAAAAATATAGGTCTACGCGAATAATTAACAAAAAAAATGAGCTATTTATTTATAAAAAAAAATCTATAAAATACGTACCATATTCAACGTCGATTGACGATATTTAATATATCTATACTACTATATCAATTTATCATAATACTTGGCTTTGTAAAATATTTAGCTTAGTCCTAAGAGGAAGATAATTCCACATTAACCACCCCCTTAAACCCACCCCTAATTTGAATCAGGAGCAGAAGTTTCTGTTTCTCTGCCCCCGGAACAACCAAAAGAGCACATCGACGATAGAAATACGCGAAACGAACGGCCAAGGACGTAGGCAAAGGCGTGGCGAGGTGTGCCTGGGAAGGCGCAAAAATTAAAAATTTGCATATCAAGTTAATAATTACAATGGTCATTGTTGTATATTTTATTTTCTGAAATTCCAACGCCCTTTGGATCTAATGATTGTAATATTTTTAAATTAAAATTACATAAGGGTGCGTTCTGAAGTTTCGTCCCGGTTGCTACGACACATATGGGTAGGCGGGTAAAAAAACGAAATATACAAATTATTGTTGTTGCACTAATTGATTTAGTGTGTGTGCCACGGTGTCCACACACATACACACACAGTTGCATGTTGAGTTTGGTTATGTATCATCGCATCATATTATACGTAATCTCATCATCGGTTTATTTAATAATAATAAAAATTTTAGTTATTTATGTTCATCGAACATCAAACTTTCTTTTCGATAATTTAAAAATCATACTCGTTCAATATCATCGCAATACGTATCGGTACGTTTCTACGGTCTAGTCCAACGGTTCTTAACCTTTTGTAAATCACTGATAAAAGATTTTTAGAAATTTACATTAGTAGATATAACAAAACATATATATTTATAATTATTTTTATTACACAACATTTTTAAGTTAATTTAAATTTAATTATTTTAGTTTTTATTTTTTTTTTTTAATATTCTTAAAATGTTATTTTTATCAATTTGATGCGGTGGTTATTGTTATACTTGAGATATAAGTTTTTGAACATCTTTTAAGGATAAGGTATATACATATAATATAATATGTAAAAAAATATATGAAAAAAATAAATAATAACAATATAACAATATTGTAATAATATACTTGTGTCACTTTTTAACGTACGTTATGTGTTAAGATTGCCGCGGACCTCTAGAGTTCCATGGACCACAGGTTAAGAACCGCTAGTCTAGTCACTCGTATCGATGGACTATAACTGCGTGACCGAGTTTACCGTTGTAAGTGGTGTATTTCTATTAACGAATAATTGATCAAGTAATCCAGAGAGACTTGAAAGCAGTTGATAATGATCGAAATTTCACGGGGATCGTTCATCAATGTGATAATAATCGAGTTTGGACTTTGTGAAAACAACCCGGAGTAATCGGGATTCAATCGGTGCTCATCTAGGCAATTGTTTTTTTTTTTTTCGAAGGACCCGCTATTTAACGTATTAACACGACGGTGAGTGCTCACTTCGGCTCCGTGTCCCGAATGACTTTGCCGTCCTTTGAGTTACTGAGTGTATAACTGAGATTGATATACCACACGTCTTTAAACATTTTCAAAAACAATATAAAAACCATAATCGAAGTTAAACTGCGCAAGAACTATTACTGCAAATGACTTCCTAAAATTATCACTACATTTCGGATTACGTCCCTCCTCCCGAAAAAAAAATCCTGGATCCACCACTGTTCTACGTTTCCAGGGTGTGCTCTTTCGGGTAACCGTGACACAGCAGTTGTAACGATCGTATTGATGATAATACATCGATATGGTAATATTGTACGTGGAAATACGAACGCGCAAGTTGTGATGAAGCCGGTCGTCTTCCGTGGCGGGTAGTTGTGCGAGCACATATCCGGACCGTTTTTATCTCGGTCCGCGTCCGTACGGAATGGCTCGAGCGACCTATCCAGCGATGGTCTGCTGCACGTTGGCTGCCTCGGTCACCGGAAATCCGCACAAGTCGTGAACGCGGTCGTCGAAAATCGGCGCGACATATTACGATACGATCGTCAAACGGACAATAACGCGGTAGCGAATCGCCGACCGATCGTCCATACGCGCGTCCGGCAAGAGAGGGGCAAAACCGATGGCGGATGGAATATTTGATTTTTTATTTTTATTAATTTTTTGGACACGAACGCGTTTATATATAGGTCATGCGTTGTGTGCACTACTCGCGGATATTCGCATTGTTGTCGTGGTTTTCAGCACCATTTAAGATGGGGAGATGCGAAAAAACACAATGATACCCGTCGACATCCGTTTTACATTTTGAGAACTTTTTTTTTTTTTGAATAAAAATTTATAATTTAATTATTAAAAACTATAATTTTAGTAATCTATTATTCGAACAGTAAAGGCTCTATCAAACAGAACGCGTTATTAACGTCGCGTTGTATTCGATTCCAAGTCATATTGGATATCAAATATATGTTGGCGTGATTAACGCGGCGCTAGAACGTGATGTACAAAATCACGCGCGGCAGTGCGTTATTTTAAGCGTTCAGATAATGGCGAAACAAGGAATACATCACATCATTACTGAATGTTTACTAAACTTATAAATGGTGATGTCGATTCCCCTGTCCTCCTAAGTAAACTTAATTTCAGAGTTCCATGTTCCATGGTCCTTCCCTTTCCAAATTCCTTTTAGCCGCTGTAACTATCTCAAAAATCGTCCTATTGTCCGTATGACGAAACTAGCCAATGAGGACCCACTATTTTTGAATGCTTGGCACTAATTATTGTCTGTTCGCTCTAAATTTTATTATTATACTTGTATTTTTATGCAATATTTTTCTAGTTATTATGTTATTATGTCTGTTCGCTCTTTATCTAATATTTTATATTTCTAGTTTTGTAATTTATGTAACTTTTTCCTAGTATTATGCTAATATTCTATGTAATTGGGCACGTCCCGTTTTTCAATAAATAAATAAATAAATTACGAAAATAAATTAATGTTAATAAAATTCGCTTCCACTTTTGTTGACCATCGGTTTATGCGCATAAAATTAAAAGTTTTTCTTCGTCCGAACTAGAGAACATATTTTCAATATAAACCACACCTCGCAAATGTACGAACAATAAATACTAATAAGACTAATCGACTACTAAGAACTAGTCTCTATAATGCGACGCTTTTTGGATTCTATGTGCCCGCGGGTAACGTTACGCGATAGCGTTAAAAACGCGATGGTACTAACACGACGTTAATAACGCGTTCTGTTTAACAAGACCTTGATAGTATACATTGCAAAAACAGTTTATTAACATGATACATTTTAGCAAATTCAATACACCCACATTTGATGAAATATTAGAATGATTATTATACACTGAAGCTAAGTACCACAATTTTGAAATAATCATAACGATAATAACACAATACCGGCATTGAAATCGGACAAAAACGTTCCACCGTGCAATTTGAGTTACAAAACATTGCAGCTTTGTCGCATTGGGATGACTCGAAATATTACAAAGCAAAAACACAACAAAATTGCGTAGCTGCTCCACAGAAATAATGTACATAATGATATTTTGTTATAACCCGGATAGCAAGAAAACATTTTTGTTATCGTGTATGGGTTATTATTAATTTTAATTATGATATTAATAACACGGACGCCAATGATTCGCATTCATATTCTAATTTAAAGCGTGAAGGGAAAACCGAGACGACTCAACATTTTAAAAAAAAAACTACAATTCATTTTGTAATTTTGATTGTAAGGGTGAAATAAAAACAAACATGATATTATTAAAAAATCGTCTTTAGTTATATATAAATACTATAAATAATATTATTATTAATATTTATTAATTTTTAATATTATATTATTAAAATTTTCAAAATATTATTTAAAAAATTTATTTTTAATAAAATAATAATAATATATTCGGAATGTTATTTTATTATTTCGTTTATGATTTTATATTATTAATAAATTCAAATCATTATTTTATATAATGATCACTTGATATTGTATTATTATTTTCCTTAAAATATAATATTGAAAATAATACTTGTAGATAGTATAATATACTATTCATAAAATATTTTACATTACGAAAATACTATCTGGAAAACGGCTTGCACTAGTTTTTTTTTTTCCATAAAATCAAGAATTTCAAGAAATTAAAGTCCAAATCCTCGCGCCACGCACTGTTGCAACTGGGTGTTGAAAGCAGGGACCAGGACCGTAACCGAAAAGAACCGGTGCTGGAATCGGTTACCGTTTAAAATTTAGGAACCGTAACTGAAACCGAAACTTTTATTTCCAAAAATGAAAAACCGTAACCTTAATAATTATTATAAAAGGGTTCATTTAGGTCAGTGTTTCAGACTAGTAAAACTATAATAATGACTATTTTGCTTGTCCATTTGTCGATTCAGAAAAATTCGACTGTTTGTTCGGCAATTTGAGTAGTAGGTATACTTGTTGGTATTTTTAGATTTAATTGAACAAGGTTTGAAAATTTGTCCCAGTTCGGTTTTCCTTTGATTAATTAATTGTTTGTACGGTATAAAAGAGAAGGTGAATTTAACGTTATTTTAACAGGAATGTGATCCGAATCAAGTTCAGTGAGAGGTTCATGTACGCATGTGGATGAAATACAATTGAAGCTGATGTTGAATGTTGGTTATAAATGCTTGTAATTTAGAGTCATTTGGATTTGTAACATGGCAGCCCCGATTAATGTGCTTAGAATTTAAATCACCGGCCATTATGATTAGAATTATCTAGACTCATGACTTTTTCATAATTTGCAATAAGCATTTGGCGACTAGGAGGTTGATAAGCACTGATAAACGTTATACACTGATTGTTTATGTTAATTGAAACTGCTACGGTTTCTAAGTACGACAGGACGAATGTAGGCAATTGTTGTTGTTTGATATTATTACGTACCTACTAGAATAGCAATTCCCGCCCATGGCGCGTGATTGTGTGAAACGATCAGAGCGGTATATTTTGTAACCTGGGAATTTAATCTTATCTGTATGTGATAGATGAGTTTCGGTAGTGCATGCGATATGAATGTTATGATGATTAAGAATATCCAGTAACGTATTTCTTTGATTTTTTAAACCGTTGGCGTTCCAATTTAACTAACGCAACATATTATTCTCATAATTATTAATCTCACGGTCATCGGTCTATTTCGGTTCACCACCGATACTCGACCCACACGTACATGCACACACAAATCATTGTTTATACTTTTAATTATTATCGGTTATTGTTTGTCGTCTATATGTGAGTGAGTTATATAATTGTAAAAGGCCCGGTGCCATTATTTTTGTCGTCGCCTGTGTCGTACGAACTGTCGTTGGGTTCATATCGACCGTTTTTGAATTATATTTTTGTGCAGCCGCCATAGACACATTTTTCATTGTTTTAATATTGCCTTCATAGGCCGAATTAGTATTATATTTTTTATTATGACATTTTATTATTTTTATTAATACAATTGTGTTGTGCCGCCATAGGCGAAATTATTATTATTGTTATTTTATTGAGCGAAAATCGCCAGTTTTTATTATTTTGTTTCAATTGTTTTATAGGCGCAAATCGCCGATTTTTATTATTTTATATATTTTTATAGTAGTTAGGTACGTAGTTGTAGCTGACCAGTCCGCGCTCCATCAATTAGTGAGTTTTTTTCTATTTATTTATCTTTTTTATTATTGTTTTAAAAATAAATTAAACAGCAACAGAGTTACCAATAACTTTGTACAATTATTTAGTTACCTCTCGTTTTCCTTAATTTATAGCAACACACACAACACAAAATACACACACACACCACCCCACCACGTAGCTTGTCAGATTTGTGCGGTGAACCCAACCATTCTGACGAAGCTACATATAGACTATAGTCGGTCGGTGGTGAAATTACATTTAGTGCACGCATTTATAACAGGTGACCGGTGTGCGCGTAATATTATTTTACGCTATCGGCCCCAACAATTAGGTATTTTATAATATAATAATTTTATATTATTATAATAATTTTATAATTATGGAGATCCATTTGAGTTTAAGTTTAAGTTGTTCATAATAACTGGCAGATTTCGTATAATTTGTTACATGAGTTGAGTAACGAATATGTTAATTAGTGGTAAGAGAGTTTTCATAAAATCATTGTCGTTGTCTATGTTTTTGGTTGATTTGCTTTTATAACTATTGTTATAACCATTATTATTACATGCAGAGGCGTATGTGTAATGCTTATTAGTGTTATCTTCATTTAAGTGTATATTTTGAGTACTTACGTTGGGTATTGTGTTTGTGTAATTCATGCTGTGAATCGAAATTTTACTAGTTTTATTTTTATTTTTATTTTTGCTTTTTGATATTGCTTTGTAAAAAGTACATCCTCTATAATTAGCCAGGTGATTATTTTCACAGTTAACGCATTTTGGGGGACTTTTGTTGATTTCTGACATTAACTGTAATGATGATCACCAGCACATTTGACACACCTTGATGGCAAATGGCTAAACTTTTTGGTATGGGAAAATCTTTGACAGTTAGTACATTGTGGGATATTCTTGGAGGGTTTCCGTGGTTCAACTACAATAATACAATGAAGAAGTCTGTTTAAAGAATATATTTCACAAGAAGATTTGGATAATAAAACTGCTACGATTTATATTAGATATTTAAACTGGTTTTGAAGAGGTGTAACTGAAGCGACTTCAAATTTAAGTTTTTGAAGTCCATTAAAAATATAAGCTTCCGATATGTTGACACGAACCCGTGTGGCAGCCGTTACCAAAATGTCCAACGCTGAGCGACTTATAGTTGGCAAGTGGTCTTCATCATCGTCATCTCAACATGGGGCTGTGTCGTATGGTTATTTGTATTATTTTTTCCCTAATGGTTTCGTTATTTTCCCTAAAAGATATGTCTTAATAAAGTTCATAATTGATTGTTATTATTTCCATGTCTTGGCCATGTGTTCAAAATTATTATATCATAAAAAAAAAAACATCATTATTCACCAGTGGTGAAAGCAATCATATTATTATACTCAACATTATTATTGTCATATGTTATACTCAAATTATTATATTTAGAATTATTATTATTGTAATGCCATTTATTGTCATAACTAAAAATTATTATTATGCACTTTAGTGCCAATGCTAAAATATATATTATTCTTATTATCTTAAAACTTAAACTATGCTTATTATTAATTGTTAATTGTATTATTAACGTTGCCTGTTTCTTATTATTATAAAATAAATCTTTGGTCTTCATTGAACCAATGCGTATTTAAAACCTAATAGTTCTGCCGAAGGGGGTCTCACCACTCCCCACTCGACACGGCTATTACGAAACAGGTCACGAATCTCAAGTCCCCGAGGTTCGTGGGTGGTTTTTGTTAGGGGCAAATTTAGCAAAATCTCACAATTTATTAATTATTAAGTATATTTTAATATTTTTTATCATTCTATCGATATTTATATTATTTTTAACAATCTACTCATAATATATTTTATTATGATTTTGGTATCAATATTTTGTTAAATATTCTACACCAAATTATACCAATTATTTTGCACCAAATAATACTGAATATTCTGTATTGAATAATACTGAATATTCGGCCTCGGATCTCGAATAATATGAATTTATAAAAAATTTGATATTTTTAAGAGTTGAAAACGAATCTAAAACAAAATATCCAATGGATAAAATATCCAGGGATAAAATAACCAATATATAGGACAAAATATCCAAATAAAAAAATTATAAAAATCTGTATATCTGTAAATAATTTTTTTATTTTTTTATTTATTTTTTATTTAGATAAATTGTTCATTTTTAAATCAAAATTAACATTATTTAATATTTTATAATATAGGAATAAAATAGTATTCGTAAAAATAAAACTATGTTACGTTGTAACGCACTACATAAAACTAAAGATATAATTATTATATAACACTACATATTATTTTTATTATTATTATTTTATAACTGTATTATAAAGTATTATTAATGCTAAATGTTGTTAAAATGTGATCTAAAAATAAACAATAATGTATTTAAATAAAAAAAATTATACAGGTATTAATAATACAGATTTTTATAATTTTTTTTGGATATTTTGACTTGGATATTTTATTACAGGATATTTTGTCCTTGAATATTTTGTCCCAATACCGAAAATAATAATGCAGCAAATGTCATGAAATCGTGATTAAAAAATTAGATAATTATTTGTAAATTATATCCATATTATTAATTTTATAAATTATTTAGTATTATATTAATATTCAAAATTAAAAGAACTGATATCAATTAAAATTATGTAAAAATATTTTGATTTATTTATGATGTAAGGTGCTTACAATGTTAATTAAAAATATGTTTTCAAATCATATTATTAGAAAGTAATTTATTAAATATTGTTTTAGTTATATCCACTTCGGCTTCGGTTGAAAATTATCTACAAAAATCAAAATTATAAAGAGAATGATAGTTCAAAAAGTATCTACATTTATTAAAAATATATGTTTAAATTTAAATTAAAAAAAAAATAAAACAAATATTTTACAAATAAGTTGTAAATTATAGGTACTTAGATTTATACTTAGATATATTTTGAAAATCTTAAATGTTACATCAAAATTATTACAAGGAATTAATTTTTCCATTGAGATGGTATCAACACTTATAAATGAACCAATCTGTCAAATCTATCAGTTAAGGAATAATTATGATGAGATATTGAATAAATCGAAAGAATGATGTGCTAAATGGAACATAATAGTGTTATTCCATTCAGTTCATAAAACATTTGCAAATAAAATGTTTGATAATTTCGATGGTCACTCTTGACTTAATATTAATGAACAACATTTTAAAATAAAATTATTTTTGCCTATCTTAGATACTATACTATTTCAATTACATAGTCGATTTGAAGGAATGATCACTACAGTTAGTGGTTTTAAATTTCTATCGACATTAACCATTATTAAACAAAATTAAGATTATATTATAAAATCATTATATGATTTTATAAATTTATGTCCAGATGATATTTCATCTGATCTTCTTAAACAATTATTGTGTCTTAAACTACATATTACAAAAAGTGATAAGACTATTTTATCAGGATTGAAGATCATACAGAATTTCACATTTTATATAATTGATATGGATTTATTAACAAGTTTTGTTGATATTCTTGCAGCTTGCCTTATATTTTTATCCATTCCTGTTACGATAGCATCTGCAGAAAGGAGTTTTTCTAAGCTTAAATTAATTAAAAATTGTTTCCGCAATTCTATAAATCAATAACGTCTCGGTGGCATTTCCATACTTAATATAGGAAGGAAAAGAACTTTCGAGATATATGTAGATAAAATAATTAACAATTTTTCAAATACAAAATCGAAAAAAAAACAATTTTGTTAGATAAGTTAAAATTTTTTGAAATTATACAATATATTTACAATTGTATTTTATAACTATTATAACAATAGTATTGTTTATACGATTTAATAATTTTATTTTTATTTTTAATTAATATTATATAGTTATATTAATATAACAATTAATTTGTATTTTGTAGTTGAATTCAAATTGTAGGTACTTTCAACAGAACTATTTTTTTATATTTTTTGTTGACAGTTGTGATTGTGCTTTATCTATATGTTTATCTATACAATTTATTAAATTTTGCAAATTTTAAAATTATACAGTAAAATAAATTTAAAATTGTTCAAGACTAATATACCCACAACTGTTCTGTAAATATACACGAAAAATTACGGGTCCATATTATAGTTATATATCTAACTTTATAACAATATGAAAAACTATTGAATTACATAAATAAAAATGTTAAGACATTTAAAATTAAAGATCCACTAGACTACCTTCCAAAATACAAACATCGGTTAACGTATTTTATTTATAGTAGGTAAATACTTTTTTGAAAAAATATTTAGGCCTCAAATTCAGATTTGCATACCAGCCCCATAGTGTGTAGTTGCGGCACTGGTCGTGCGTTGTAATTTGACGCTCAGACGTTGTGGCGTAAAAATTACAATACATTGTGTTGCAGTAATATTCTGTACTCAATGTTAACTATGTAGTGTATAACCGTGGTTTAGTATATTTTTAAATTTATTTTATTATTTATTTTTTAAAAAGCTCAACAGTTATGAATGAGATTGAGTTAAAAAAAAAAAAAACCGCAGCATTTATAATTGTTCACCAGTTGTTAAACAAAAAAAAAAAAAATAAAAAAAATCTCGGCAAAGCGTTGGTGGATACCATAATTGTACCACAATTAATTAAAAAACGATAACTCAAGTTTGTTGTCCGCCTTGAAATTCTACGAAAGCACAGGACAGTATAAATATTTTATTCGGATGTCATCAAAATACTTTGAGTATTTCATAAATTTTGTGTGGCCAAAAATACAAAAAATGATATACGTTCTCACATTCTTTGGTCTTATAAAAATGGTATGGATTTTCTGAGTCCCACAACACCGTACGTTTTTCGTACTCTCGTATGAGTAGGAGACAATCATCTTGTCATCATCCCCCATTGATAATATAATTTAATAAATGATTAAAAATTATCAAAATCAAATGATTTATTCACTAATCATGCGCCGCGTGCGTATACAATGTGCGCGATAAAATAAAGCCGTTCAAACTGAGCGCTGCATAACATAAATATCTTTGATCGTGATCGGGAGACTGACAACTGGTCGGATTGTGTACGTTGTAAGCCACGAACACAAATGCAACGCATAAGCATGTTTCACTCGGTCCAAACTTATCAAATTTTTGACTCACGTGAGTTCGTCAAAATTCAAAATACAACGCATACACAAATTTTCTACAATGTGGACGCACCTTTATAGCGGGCTGTGACTGTAAAATATACAACTAGTTTATTGTGAAATTGCATTTTTATTGAATTATATTTATTAGAGTATAACGTCTCGCACTTTCAACGTGGCCGATAATAAGTGGTGCGTTATGTGACGGGTCATATCGGGTCACCAACCTATAGCTGGGGCATTTTCCGGAGCATATAAGATTTGTTGTTCTTTTAAAAAATAAGGTTAAAATACCAAACGGTGAAAAATACACAAATTAAAAAAATAGGTAAAAAATTATATTATATTATATTGGTGCCGAGAAAGCTTTTTCAGGCGTAAAACTCGGTCAAAATTAAAAAAAAAAAAAACAGAATACATTTAATGAGAATAATAAGAAAAAGTAGAAGAAAGATTACTTACAAGGGGCCGTTATCGGAATACGGACTTATATTTTGAATCTCATATTTTATACCATTTACATATTTAATTATCATACCCTTACGAATGACGCCATACTGGTTTTCTTAACTTCATGGTATAAAACAAAATACATATAACGACAATAATAAAAAAACACAACAAGGGATACCGACCAAAATATAATAAGATATTAATAATAATTATAAAGAAATTCATTTCACCCTTCGCCCGCATTTCAAGGACGTTGTTCCGGAGACGCACCGGAACAATCTCCAGTTCAACCGACCATGGTATTGTTGCGACGGTGGATAAAACGAGACAAACTCTACCAACACAGTCATGGTACAACTCGCATTAACAACTGGGTTTTTTTTTTTTATTAGCCGATATCTCCCTATAGTGGAAATTAATTATAATAATCGCGTGTAGTTCCGGTCAATTACGAAAAATAGCTACGGAGAAAGTAAAACAATGAGTCGACCAGAATAAACCATAATACGCTCGGAGGTTTCTTGATTGCGAACGCTCGAGACTAGGGAAGGGCAAAAAATATTTCGTTGTTATTAGGTAAATTACATTAGCAGAGCTGTTATATTTCATGTTTTATTTTTAAAAAATATTTTTTTTTTTGTGTAAAACAGCTTCTTTTTTAAATGTCATGTACTTGTTAAATTACTTTAAACTGTTTAAACGTGTTTAAAACAATTTTAAAAAATTTCAAAAACAAGCAATGACCGATCTGTGATAAATTAACAGGCAGCACCTTCATCTCACGAAGAATCAAACCAAAACTCACATACGCACTAATCACGCCCAATAAATTTTATATCAATAATATTGTACGATGTACGATTAGCATTGTTTCTATTATCTATTATTCTTTGGAGGTTAAGCGGACCCGGATGTATGACCACACGGTAGTCTCCAATAAGTACGGGGTGGAAACTCTAATGCGTATAACTTAGCCGGAGGTGTTTTGAAGCCGAAGGCGAATTTAATTAACAAAAAAAGACAAATAACAATAATAATAATAAAAATCTAAATATAAGTTACAATAAAAAAATAATCGTACGCACGAGTGTTACTCCGGTGGCAGACGAGAGATGAGAGAGAGTGCGAGCCACTGACGATCGCGCGTCAACCCTCGGCGGTGCGATGGAGGTGACACGCGTGTAAGGAAACCGGACGCTGATAAGTGGGGTTGAGTTCCCACAATTCTATCCATTCTGTGGTAACACCATGGATTGGATTAAACTAATAATCTGAACTGCGGTAATACGATAATCTACCAAAGTGTATCAATATTTGCGGTTTACCTACGTGGTGCTTCGGTTATACGGTCAAAAACTATTGTCATCGTCTATCACTTCATTAGCTATTGCATTAACTCTCACCTCAGACGTGATGGTGTCACCCAACTTTCTGGGTCACACCCCTAATGATTTACGACTTATGCCTCCATGCATAATTAATAACCTATTTAGACAGTTTATTGCCGATAACTTTAATTCGTTTACCTTGGTATTCACGGATGGGTCAGTCACACAATCAGGTGCAGCGTTTGCTTAATTTTTCCCAGAATTACATATACAGTCTTCCTCCAACCTTTCTGCTTTCGTCTCTTCATTCACGGCTGAATGCTGGGCTATCCTAGAAGCTCTCACATGCATAAGTTCTCTCCCCTGCGGAGATTTTCTTATTGTCTCTGATTCTCAAGCTAGTATTTTAGCAATCGTTAGTAACCCCTTCCTTTCGAAGTGCTCCCCCATAATTCTAAAAATCCGCGCATTACTACTATCCCTCAAAATCAGGTCATTCTCCATCTCCTTCCTATGGGCTCCAGGGCATATAGGCATAAATGGTAACGAATACGTTGATTCGTTAGCTGGCTCAACCGCCAACCACTCTTACTCGGGTCCACTGTGGTGTCTCTATACGGATTTTTGTCTCTTTACATCGCAAAGTTATAAATGAACAATGGAAGCTGGAATGGGATTCCTTACCAGAATCCTATGCTTTTGTTTATAGGTCATTATTTAAAAACATCCCTAATCGACCATGGTTTCATTCCCTAAAGATGAGCCGTGCAGCCATAGCTAAATTCACTAGATTACGCACGGGCCATAGCCTATTACCACACCACTCATTTAAATTGGGACTCAACAGTAGTGCGTGTTGTCCTCTACCCAACTGTGGTGGAGAATACTGTGATTTCCATCACCTACTCATTAATTGTCCATCTCTATCTATCCAAAGATCTCAACTAAAGATTTTCTTTTTCATCTCTGGTATTAATTTTTCCCTTATTGATGCTCTTTCAACCGACAATACCAATATAATTAAACATACGCTAAATTTTATCCTGCAATCAGGTCTCTGAATTTAAGAATGTAAGCTTTACCAACCTTAATTTATATCGAATTCATGTACATAATTGTCGAGATATCATAATGTAATGTTAAAATCTCATTAAAAAAAAAAAAAAAAAAACTGAATTCTATGACACCGGACATCGACCAACTCGGTAGGTAGTAAAAAGCAGGCCCATTGCTCACATTAAGACTTGTATATGTAACGTTGTATTACTTTTAAGTATTCATTTTACAACATTGCCTAATATAATACGGAAATGTTGATAAAACTACGAAATATTCAACATTGCCTAACCTTTCCAGTCATTGTCAACAATGACTAGGATATACCGACAATTCCTGAATTTTCATTTTTTCCAGTAACATATAAATTTACAACGTTAAAATCGGCCGGCTAGATATAGGTACGAACTTTATTCTTGCATGCACAAACGGTAAATCAGTTGGATAAAACTTCGTACAGGTGGTTTTTCGATCATCATGATCATTGATTGTGCACGTCAAGTATTTTTATATGTTATCACGATGTGTGTGTGTGTGTTATTTTTATTTTTTCCGATCTGCACAAACAACAAATATTGATCAATAGTTTTTTTCTTTCTGATATAAGAAATGAGGGCCATAAAATGAAAAAAAAAAACATGATTGTTATTAATGTTTTCTTTCAAAAAAATTAAATTTACAAGTTATTGCATTACATGTTGATATCAAGGTTTTACAATAATGATGATCAGAGTCGACCCACACTTCATCATATACCTTTAATGCACTAAAAATCACATGGATTATAATAATTTGAAAGATTTTGACTTCCACATCGATTATGATCCTAAACTTCGACATTTAATTTTAAATTTTGACTAGGGATTTGTATGTGTTCATACTCGTATTACCTTTTTCTATGTAATTTTTATTATTAAAAGTTACTGTTAAATTTATATTATTTCTAATACATATGTATATATATACATAAATAAAATAATTTCTATTATATTGTTATATAAATTAAGTTATCTTTATTATGTTATATATTAAAAACTTTTATGTACGCTCATCTACCCTGGTGTGTTATGCAACAAAATAAATCAATTAAAGTAAAATAATAATTTACAAAATAAGCAGTGTGTTAATTAATAAAAATATTGTTTGACAATGTCTAGTAATAACTGATTTTTTTTTTCTTTGTATAACTATGAATTATCTATGAATTATTTTTTTATTATTTTAAAATAAGCATTCATATTTAAAATAACAATACGTTTAAAATAAAATATTATGTTAGTCTAACCATTGATATTATGTAATGCAACGTTCGAAAATTAAATAAATAAATAAATAAAAAGCCAAAACACCGTTGTTTCAATCAGAATCAAGAATTTTCGATTATTTCATAGTTTACTCTGTAAAAAATATTTATTTATTTATAATTGTATTGCGATGATGTTTAATCTGGTAACATCGCAGTACGCTTTACGCGCACCCGTGCATATATCTTACCCGAAATATATGTTCTATTGTCCCGTTAAAATAAGCGCAATCGTATTACGAAATAGGTAAAATGCTCGTAATTGTATTTTACCGAAATTTGTGTCACTACTTTGACTGGTTCCTTAATCAACGTTATCGCAATCACACAATCAATTAGCAATTCGATATATGAATTATAACTAACAAAAAGTCAATAATTACCTAGGAATTATTATTATTATTATTATTATTATCATCATCATTAAACATTTCACATATTGTTTGATCAGCAAATGGCGAATAAATTGGATAAACTATATCGAACTTTATAATTATATCACCACGTACAGTTGGATCGTTTACATCTGGCATCCCTTCGTTATGAATTATTTTCACATAATCATCGCTAAAAAACATTTAAATTATTTTCGGGATATCAGATACAACAACAACAACAGTTTAACTTACGTGATAACTTGTGTGATATTCACTCTTAAGACTTTATGGTCCAACGTGTTGATGTTCACTTTAGTACCAAAAAACGCTTGTTTTAACGAAACTGTTTTAACCATGATTAAATTTGTTATGTCTCTTTTGAAAACTTTGTGAGGTATGTCCTCCGTTGTAAAAACGTATAATGCTATTTCAACATGAGTTAAAATTGGTTACTGTTTACATGTTACATCCGTTGTAATCAGTGCACTGAATACAGTGATGCTGTGTTACTGCAGTGTCGTAGCTTTAGTTCGAACTGACCTGGGGCCGTGACTCACTCAAAATATTACGCCTCTTAGGTAAATATATGTGTTATATGACTCTTTCGTGTATATCGGTCACCATAAATCAGAGAATAAAATAATATATGTACTTAATATTGTATAGATAAACCACTCTGTTGTAATAACTATATATTATACATAATCATGTTATATTGAAATAAAATGTTTTAGAAAATTAAAAGAAAAATATTCAAAGCTGATTTTTGTAATTAAAACTTAACTACATCAATGTAATAATGCATTATAAACAGCAACATATTTTTAAAACAGTCTCCCTCGAAAGAAGTTAAACCCAACAGGTATTGCACTTCTATTAACCAATTACTATAGCTGTGTCCACCATACCATATTATTTAGTAGATTAGGTAGGTTATAGGTACCTATATTGTAGAGTCGTGGTCACTCAGAAAGTAGGTAACAATTATGATTTGACTCTTATGATATTTCTTTTTTGATACAATATTTTGGTGGACACCATAAACCATTTTTCAAAAGCACCATACAAAAATTTGGCGCTCAGGGACAACAGTAGCTACACCCCACTGATTGTAACACAACTATGCGTCATTTATGCAACATACTTTTGATTTCGAGTCCGTTATTGACTTTTGATACCATAGACTGTATTGTTGCTCCTGCAGGCAACCCACGTGGTACGTTGACTTTAACAAGCATTTCTTCCGATGTCGAGTCGTCAATCCGCATTGATTTTCTGTTCACCTCGATTAGTTTCGTCGATCCGCTAAAAACCTTGAAATATTATTGTTCACGAATTAAAATGAAACACGAATTATGCTTTATAGAATAATAGTCAACGGGCAGGTGTGTACTTCGTTCAATGTTAATTTAAGACGTAAATGTACGACGTCGGGTGAAACTCTATTTTCCTTGAGCGATATTGACACGGAACCGTTTGATTTAATGATTAAATTAGATATTGGATTTGTAAGTGCACAGTACTCCCTAAAATTAACGTTTTAAATGTTTACAGTTAAACGGTTTTCCGCAAAGATTACAGAAATTAACGTTCTTACGAATATGTGGTCAACGCATTACCATGATAGGTCCATGGGTCGATGGACGCGTTTCCAGATTGTATACCTCTTTTAAGTCCTTCTTCGCCGTAGTCATCGTATAAGGCTCGGCGAAACGAGTCGGACAGTACCTCGAACGCTTCGCACAACGTAACTATACTGGGTTGGATTTGATTATTTTTTGTCCGTTGATACATTAGTTTTCCAAATCTAAAATAATGGACTGCGGTAAAATGTATCGCTCGTGAAAACCGTTTTTTCTTTTAAATCCAGAATTTGCTTACGCTTTATAAACATCGTCTTTGGTGCAATACCTTTTCAACTGTAATATTGAATAGTAATTAATACCCATATTTCAAAATGTTTACTATAAAAGAAAAAAAATACGAATTTCAAATAAAATATGATTCAAGATAACAAAAGTTTCTATAGCTATATATTATATTATTTGTACAGCTGTATTCGAACCGAATACAAAAATAATAACAGTGAGATTTTTTTACCATATTGAATTGTGTAATTCAAACAACATAACGCACTGTTCATTCGTTATCCGAAACGTCACTCTAAATTCGTATGTTTTCAAAAGTAAACCGACAACGACCCATTCCTTGAACAAGACATAAACTTTCTTGTTATCTAAAAAAAAAAAACAAATACATAAAAATACATCAAATACGTCAAGCGTTGACAATTAAAGAAATTCGGTGCAATAAAAATATTTAAACAGAAAATTATAATGTTCGAACCACTTGAAAATTGGTTTTTGTTAAAAACGATTAAAATTCAAGTATATATAATATATACTCAAATATTTAAGTAATAGGGATACAAATTAGTGTTGTAAGAAATTAGCGTACTTATTAATATGGGTGCAAACTTCTTAAAAGGATTGTTAGCTGGTATTTTATATTACACGACCTTACTCTCAATTATAAATTTCAGAGTTCTACAACAAACCTCTCATTCCATAACTGCTTTGCATGTTCCTCTGCGTACCACCAACTACTTGTCTAACGAGCCGTTAAGACGTATGATGTATAATATTAATACAGACCCCACTTTTCTTATTTAGTCATTTGTATTATAAATCTGTTTTTATTTTTCTATAATATATTTATTTCACCATCTTTATGATTGTTACTGAAACATTCTTTTTGTTGCTAATTATTTTAATTAATATCCGTATATTAATATCTGTATAATAGAACCTTTTATTAATATTTTTTAACTGTCAAAAGGGCTAAGCCCGTATATATTCTGAGATAAAATTTAATAAAATAATATGATAATAAATAAAAAAAAAATGTAAGAAATATATAATTGTAAAAAGTATTATATTTGAATGAATAAAAACATATTGTTAGTCATATTCATCAATTGGAGTTTAGCCACTATTATATTTATCAATTAAATGTTATAACTTTTCTCTTTTTTTTTTTAACTCGTTAATTTATACTATTTAATTTAATATATGATTCTGTTTAAATTTCTTTTAACTTTTCTATAAAAAAAACTAAAAATATGTGGATGAATTATAAAAGAGCTAGGATTATAAGTTATGTTCGATCACATAATGATTCATGGTTATGGTTTAAATTATATTCAGTAATTCTATAGTCATCACCTACGGTTTTTAAAAATGCTGTGCAAGTTTTCACTGTATACCGCCACTTAACCTCACCTAAACTTAGAGCCCGATTAATTTTACGAAACTTAATATTTGAAATGATCTTCAAGCCCTTTGTAGTGACTTCACTGATCAAAGTAAATACTGTTGGCATTGCAGACCTATTTAGAATATGGTGATAACTAGAGACCAGATTTATATGTGCTTAAAACCTTAGAAATAAGATGTTTCTATGCTCTATAATTGCATCAAAATATTCTTTTATATGCAGATATATTCTTTCATGAAAAAATATTCTTTTTCATAAAAATATTTTAAATACTGAAAAAACAAATAATAGTAGTAGTTTCTAAAATGTAGGAGATTTTCGGAATTTTAATTTACCAAGACATACACTAAAACTCGACACTTAATACACTAATAGTTAGTAGTATTAGTAATAGTATACTTAAAACTTAACAATAATTAAAATGATTAATGTATTTTAAAGATTATTTGATATCTGAATTCTGTAATCCGTGATATTAGTATATCATAGATAGAGACGTTAGCGTAGTCTGCGCACATGCGCAGAAGCATAAGAAAATTAAGTGTGTGGAACTCGATAAGTGCTACCCGCGTAAAACGCGGAAACTATTACCATAGTTCGTCTATAAAAATAAGATAAGAGAATTTATAGAAAATAATTTTTAATTGATTTTCTTATCAATGTTAAGTTCTTATCAATATTCCTTACGTCAAGATAAATAATATATTATAATAAAAAAAAATTTGGGATTTTTTTTATAAACCATTAGATTTTTTATAAAATATTCAAATCAAACCCTAATATACCAATATATTCCTAAAACATGTTTCTTACATAAAATATTCTTTTTTTATGCTCTAAAACCTTTTGAATATCACATCATAGGTAAATGAATCGTCCAGAAAACTTATCCAAATGGAGCTGCATACTCTCAGTAAAAATATGTAAAAACATAAAAATCCGGTTTATAATGATAACCATCGGTAGTCGTATTATTGCAATAGTTATTCGATAACGTGTTGGTATTTTTACAAACTCTATAGTTTTGTACAAAAATAAAATATCTGTGATATAATTAAAAAAGTACACAATCATTGATTCGTTAATAAATTAAAAGTTTTATATATTTTACAAGGGTATAACTCAAGTTATACCTTTTTAACATGAATAAAAATTCGGGTGCAGTTTACAAAAAAAAAAAAATAATAGGTCATTTAAGCGCCGGTTAAGTATGCTCTGAAAGCGATTTCTCGCCCAATACAGCAGTATTTAATAGTAATTTTACAACGTAGGTATCCGTTGTTTTCGTTTATGGTCGAATAAAACAACACACATTATTCGTACGTAAATAAAATGCATATAAATGCAGCACATTTATTCATTAAATATTCATATCGATTATAAGTATTTTTACAATATTATAAATATCTGGACACATCAAGTACGATAATCTTAAAAAACCATCGACAAATATAATTATTATGGTAATTTAATACTGATATTCGGCACCTATTATACAACGGCCGTATAGTAAGGTTATAAGTACTGTACAATAAAATCTGACGCACAGGACACATTTGATAATAAAAAACAATTGTTATAATAATAATGATAATAATAATAATGATGATAATGTAAGGACAATAAAAAATGTCAACGTCAGGGGTTGTAAATGTGTGATGAGGGCAAATTGTAAAAAAATTGAGTAAATATAAAAATAAATTGGTAAGACGATACATGTTTTTTTGGACAAAATTAAATTTCAAATGAATTTTGTCATTAAAAACAGCGGTGAAATCAAGAATTTCCATGGAAATCCAACGAAAATGGATTACACAATTCGCATAAAATAATATATAGCTTTAATAATATATACACACGACGAGGACGTAATATTATAAACTTGAGGTTTATACAATAAACAATACATGTACACAGTAGTAATATACGTATTAACACTTAGAACTAAATATAGCGAATACTATACAGATTTGTGAACAACAGTAATGTTGAAACACACCAGGACGAATCGACGAAAACATAACATAAATACATTTGATACACCAAGCCGTTCTCATAACATCGCGCTCAGGATTCGATGGATTACGGTAATTTTTTTTTATATTTTTTTTTTTCAATCTATCTTCATGGCGTCCTATGTGAAATGTGTGAAAAAAATCCGTTTTCGCAAGATTCCGGGGTGACAATGGTCCACTAAGGGATGGGTCCCTCAAATGTTGAACGCACTACCAGCAGCGTTCGACCGGTGTACGCATATCATGCGAATTTCTATGAAAAGGACTGGACACAATACGAATAGAACGTTTTAACCTAGGGGAAATAAATAACATTACTGCGTTATAACGACGCATATTGGCCACAAGGGAACGAGGTCAGAAATCATATCCGCGAGGATCGATTTCAAGTGACTGAGACGATAACGCGTCGAGAGACCGAACATATTATGAACATTGGTCAAGTTAATGATTTTTTTTTTCTTTCTTTACTTTTTTAAATTGTTTTTATTATTAATATTATTCACGACGCCGCCGTTGTTAGTTTGTCTTGACGAACCGTATGTTGTACGGGTCGTCGCATAGCTCTGGATACCTCTCGGTGTCTCGAATGTACTCGCCGTCGAAACCGTTCGCGTTACCCGACTTGAGAATCTCATCGATTTCGGCCGCCGACCAATCCTTGTTGGTCGGCAGTCCCAGTCGCAGGAGATCCCTCTCCCTGTGCCAGGCTTTTCTCATCACCGATGTCTTCGCGTGGTGCAGCAGCCGCTGCTTCTCATGCTCCAGAGTCGTACCGTACCGCAAATTCATCACCGTGTCCGCGCAGTGTATCCGCACGTCTACCATCTGAAAACGAGGAATGATAATTTTATGGTTCAATCGTTAGTTTATAATTTTTAATTTCCCGAAGGGCTCGTTGCGCACAGAAAACCTGTCCACCCTGTCGCTAACGATTACCGTACGATGATTAGGTTTGTATAATTCACACACCGTAAAATGCCCCCCCTTCCGGGTCTTTGTGGTTCAATAGGTAAATTACGACAAAGGAATACGTTATTTGTCGTATTTTAAGTATATTATATATTAATTACAATGTATTAGGTTTCAGAGCATATTTCATGATCGTAACGTCGTTTCGGGGCATATTTTAATGAATATTGGTCATCGTGTTTCGATCTAAATGTCCAGGTATACATATTGTTATCTCAAATATTCCCAAAATTATAAGATTACATTTTTTGTACGACGGATTTTTCCCCATAGCCTAGAAACAACTCTCGGAAAATCGTTTCGTCCGAATCAATAATTGTCAACAACTTTGAATGTTTATATTCTCTACATATTTATACGGAAAAGATAAATAATTACATTTATAATAAAGTTATTGATTTAATACTCTACTACAGTTGCTTGCTGAAAAAAGTGCGTACAACTATGTAATATCATGATTAGTGATCGATATTTTTTTTAACCACCCCTCGTAATAGCTGTAGACCATTACGCGTAACATACCAAACACACAGGACGTGGCTAATTACGTGATTACGTGCGAGTGTTTTCATCATTTACCTTTCCTGAATTGTTGTCCGATTCTTTTTCGTGGAAAGTGGTGTTCATTTGCGAGCCGAATCTCTTGAGCTGCGCCTTGTCCTCGTTGGCGTGCCAGATGTCTTTTTTGACAAAGTAATAAGCGTCTTGCTGGGCACCGTGTACCACCAAGCTGAATGGCAACAGAAACGTGTCGTTGAACACCGAAGTGAACACGTCCTTGTAAATGGGATTGGCGGTGGACACGCCGTGCACAATCACTCGGCCGTCGACCGATCTGGATAAGTGGATACCGTTGCCGAACAACGGTGCCAGGGACGCGCCCGGCTGGACGCCGTGTGCCTGCGGTCCTCGGTTCGCGTTCTCCTCCACGTCGTTCATGTAGAACGTCATCCACATCGGGTCAAAATACTCGGGCCGGTCCTTAAACGAATTGATCACGGGATCCGCGTGCGTCTTGGACTCCGGTAGCGACGTGAGCTTCCTCTTGGTTAGCAACTTGGTCAGATGGTTGAAGTAAACGGACGTGATGTCCAGCGGCATGTCACCGAGACTGGCCGACATCGATGGCAACAATGACGGAAATGTCGATATCGATTGCGGCATTTGAGGCATGAGCAGCTTCAGGTCGTAACCGACCAAAGACAACCAATAATTTTCATCTGCAACACAATATTTGTATAAATCTAAAATTTAAACGCGTTAAGTTTTTTTTTTTCGTTTGAATGGGTAAGCGTTATTAAAATCATCAACGATGGTTAGAAAAATTTGAAAATCTGAAAATAAAATGAGATCATCTGAAAAAGTCCGGAACCTTTAGCTAATACATAGCGAAAATATTCCAAAAATGTCGGTATGTGAGAAGATTTTTTTGATGGAATATATTATTTGATCCTACACTAACGCAGCGCATGATGTACTGAGATTCCATCGAATATGGTATACAATTCATAAGTCTACAAACATGTGATTTATTTTCATGAACAAATACATCAATAAAAAAAAAAAAATCGATCTGTTATATTTTGAATGATAAAATTAATGCATCAAAAATACCCTACTTATACTTAGTAATATAAACTTCTTCTTCTTTATCTAACTTTTTATAACCTCTAAAAGTTTTCACCACCATCACTAAATTCCTCCATTTTTCTCGGTCGTTTTCCCTAATCGTGAACACTAATTCGCTGAAAGTATTCTTCCACTACGTGTTACTACATTTTCCTCGGTCGCTCACATGGCCTTTTTCCCCGTAGACTTCCACTTCAAAATTATTCTGCTTATATCATTCTCATTTTTCCACTACAAGTACCTTAGTTATTGGATTCTTTGTCCTTGTATGAAACTTACCACTGATGCTATTTCCATTTCTTCCTGTAGTTTTTTGTTGTATTTTCTTCTCCAAGTTCCTTTTTCGTTATCTTATACTCATAAATACATTTCCCTCTGGATTTTTTTCTCAAGTCCTAAGTTTTCTTTAGTAGTACTAGTATGGTAATTTATGCCTCACATCAATATGTAAACGCAGACTTTATTATTACCATGTAAAGCCTTACTGTATTATTTTTAGAGAATACTTTTGATTTCAAGAACTTACTTAGCGCAAAATTGCTTTCTATTTCTTTATTCCAGTCATTTTTTGTACTCGGTATTACTCCTAGGTTTCAAAACTCATTGACCTTTTTAAAAACTAGGGAATCGGTATTAGTGTTGTCTTCAAAATTTGATAATTTCATCATTTTGGTCATATCCTTATTAGTTTTTAAACCTATCTTACTAGCTACTCGTTCAAGCAGTTGGGCAGTCCTTTCTGTATTTCCTACAGAGTTTTCAAGACAATTTAATTCAATCGCAAACCCAAACACTTATATACCCTTATGGCTTTTTTCCAAAGGTAAATTAAATAGAGTACATGACAGCAAATCTCCTGGTTTCAGCCCCGTACTAACTAGTATTGTCAATATTTATGTTAATAATACGAAAAAATTGAAATAATCCTAGTAATCAAAATTAGTGGAGTTGAATTGCACTTATTTTTGGTGACAATTGCACTTGGGTTAAAAAAAAAAGGCAATGACCGAACTGCATTCTTTATCAAAAATCAATAATGGTTCTAGGCTCAAGAAAAATGTTGGAAACGCCATAAGTAATCATTATTTACAAAACATGAAAATACATAGAAAAAACAATCTTATAATATAAGAATAACAATACTTTTATTTACATACGTTATTGTTATAACCATGATTTCAACAAAAGTACAAAATACATTTTCTAGTATAACTTGATTAATGATTGAATATATACAATACCATTACATTTATCATAAAGATAAAATATCATATTTTTTTGATCTAATGACAGTTCTATCACTACTATCTGTATTGGGCCCGTGCGTAGTTCTACATATTTCAATTCAGGTAAAAAGTGTAATGTGACTGTTCTCAAAGAAATAAAATAAAACCATTTCTGACTAGAATACGATTTACCTTTGAGATACTGGCGAGTGGGAATCACATTAATTGGATCGTTGCCATTGAACCTATATAAATGCAATTGCTGAGGCTCTGTTGCTCGAGTCAGCATACCTTCCCATTGAGGTGACATCCATTGTCCAACGAGCGGATCATAGACTTTTCCGTTTGGCATGTGTACTAATGATGTTACCTACGTTTTTTAATTAGAAAATAACATTATAATTATTATTATTATTATTATTTACTAATATACTGAATCAAAAATATATACATTTAATTATTTTAAATAAACAACATTTTATTTAAAACATAAATTAATTATTTATAATACTGACACCGTGTTATTGTTAATTTTTATAAACATGAGCATTTCCAGATTTGATAAAATATACTCATTAAACAACACTTTAATTTTTAAAAATGTAATCATTTAAATCAATTATGATACTATACCAGCGTTTCTTAAACTGTGTTCCGCTGAATCCTGGGATTCCACGAAGATCACTTCAGGGTTCCACGAAACTTAAGTAATTTTTTTAAAAATTTTTATATATTAAATAACAGTGTCTAAACCATATGGAATAATCTAAATTTATATTTACTCTAATTAATTTATTATTAAATATGTATATACAATTATTATTAATTTTATTTTTATTTTAACATATTTTTTGAATTCAATATTATTAAATAATTATAATTTATTTACAAATAATCCTAAAAAAAGCTAAAAAGTTAAAAAAAAAGCAAGAGTTCCACGATAAATGTGGACATTAAAAAGGGTTCCACGGATAAAAAAAGTTTAAGAAACGCTGCACTATACGATGAGTTAAGAGTTTTTTATATACTATTTTTTATGCTTGTAACATCTTTTTATATTTTACCTGGTCTAATAGTCCACCACAAAAATCAATTGGCAAATATAAATACGGGTTTGAATCATAAACGATGTGTCCGTATGGAGATCTCATAATTTCTCGAATGCCTTCTCCGTATTGATTGAAGATCATAACGGGCGTTCCGCAGTGATCAGTGGCCACGTAATACTTATGCCGATGCACTTGAGCATATATTAAAAATCCTCTGTCATCATATGTCAATGACATAAGCTTTCCATCTCTCGGACTAAATATGTTACTGACCTGATGAAAAATTAGTACAATGCACATTAATAAACAATACTGTTGTTTCCACATGGCAATTTACTCACTTCGTTCGGGTTTTTGTGATTGGTATAAAAGAATTGAGTGACATTTCCATAGTTATCTTTTCGAGTGCTTAGTCTATTGAGATGGTCATAGAAGTATCGCACGTCAAACCGACCTCTTTTTATCGCTCGTATCTAATAAATTGTAATGCAATATTTATTAAAAAATTGCATAGGTGCATTATTAAACAAGCAAATTGCTTATTTTTCTTATTTATTACCAAGAGGCCTTTAGAATTGTATTGAAATTTTTCTTCTCTAGCATTTTGCACAACCAAACCCCGGTTATTATACCGGTAAAGACCTTCTCCGAATTTTTCTATTCGGTCCATAACACTGTGCTCCATAGGAATCTTGTTTCCCCTGGAAATAAAGCCCGTTTAAACATCGTTGATATTTCATTTCACTATTAGTAGTTACAATATATGCGCGTGAACTACATGATTATCTCAGTGTTTACCTGTACGTCATGGTCAACATGTTTCCGTTCTGATCATACTTGAATTCCCATGGTTCCTGTGCCTCTACCGACTGCAACTGACCGTCGGCGTCAAACGTGTAATTCTTAACTATCGTATAAGTGTTGACGCCTACGTTATGTGTATATGTACGCGATTGTATGATCCGGCTGTCCAAATCGTACATAAATTCCATACGGAATACTTCCATCTGATGTATTGTGACCGACACGTGTGTCACTTGGAAATAATCGTTCGAAACCCGATTGAATATAGCAGTTCCATCGCTAAGCCTTGTTATGTTCCCATTCGCACTCAACTAAGAATAAAAAGTATTTATTTAAAACGTGTTTCCTACGCATTTAAATACCAAATTATTCACCTCAAATTGACCAAGCAACTTCTTGTTTCCTGTAATCGGACTATACTCAATATGGTATTCTTGTAAGCTCTGACCACCAATCCGGCCTTCAATCATAACCACTCTGAAGTTATCGTCGTACTCGTAAGTAATTTTGGCGTTACTGAGTCCAGTCTTAGGACCATAATCAATTCTCTCCTCGATCAGCAATCCATCGTTGTATTGATAGTCCCAACGGTATTCAAAATCCGTTTCAATGTTCAACACTTGACTGGGCAGTTGTGTGTGTGGATAATATTTCACTTTCGTAATACCGTCCCCATGCACCACCTGTCAGTATTACAGAATTCTTTATACACTTGACATCTATACGACTCTCGGTCATTCCGTTAAAATTGTTAAATGGTATTTACCTGAGACAATTGACCGGAACTGCGATATCTGTACAGAACTCGAGCTCCATCTCCAGGATACACCGTTTGGAGTAGTGCTCCGGTGTAACTGTAATGTTGTAAATATGCTCGGGTCGATCCAGGTGGAGTGTATGTGTACCGTATGAAACCCAATGATGTTTGAGACGAAAACGAATGTTTGGTTCCGGAAGGCAAAATTATATTTTTCAAACCACCAGATTCGTCGTACAAATATCCAAACTTTCGATTCGTGGGGAGTTCGATTTCGGATATCTATAAGAAGTTATGAGATCAGTTTTCACTTCATTAATATATTTTAATAATAAACCAACTGTGATGACTTACCTTGTTCCAACTGTTGTAAACATATTTTATAGGACCTCTGTGGCTCAACAGCTTTTCTATGCACAAACCGTGATGGGTGTATTTGTACTGTTCATGTATCGCACCCCATCTCCATGATTCCAAACGATTGAACCTAATAACATTTTTAAGAACACGTGTACATTTCAGTACGAAAAAAATCGGTTTATGAAGTTACCTGTCGTATGTAATATTAACATAATGTTTCGAATGACCGATCGTCCAAGATAGAGGCAATCCACTTTGGCTATACGTAATGCTAAGCAATGGTGTTGAAGGCTTATCACTGCTATAAATGGTCTCTACTTGCGAGTACTGATTATAGTCAATCATGAGGACAGAACTATTATTGATCTAAGAAAAATAAAACAAGTACATGAGTTACGTGGGTTTTAAGCAAAAAGTGTATCGTGATATTTACAGTCAATTTTCTTCTAATAATGAATTTGGTAGAACCCGCGTCACCGACGAGGGAATATGTCCACAATACTGTATTTGACAATGTACCTCTAGATGACACCTGTCTATTGAAAACCGGTAACATTTCAGCTTCTACGGGCAGAGATAGTTCTAATATGGGATGCTTCGATTCCGCAAAACATTGTACCACCTCTCCAGATCTGGAGCGGAATATGAATGAACCGTTTTTAAAACTAATCGCTTCGCTAATAGCGGAAGCACCTAAAACACAAAACGCATATGTACAATGTTATCATTATTCATATTTATAATAAATGAATAAGACATACTATTTTTAACTATTAGCTTTTTGTAATCATTTCCTTCCATTTTAATAACAATGTGATCTCTATGTCCATCTAACGAAATCATACTGATAGGGTTGTGCAAAGGTGTGAGTACGTTAACTTCGAAACCGTCGTCTTCCATTGATATGTGAGATGAAAGTTCGAAAACTTCACCCGTCGGAAGCACAACGTCAGTAAGTCGACCCAATTTGTCATAGTTGTAAATAAATAGTGATCCACCCTGTATAAGGTTAGAAAAAACATAATTAATACAAATATATCGTTGATAATTATTAATATTATTTATCAATTCGTTGTAATACAAAACAATGTGGTTAGCTTATAAATATATTTGTAACTTGTATTAGTAAAACAGTATTATATCTGGGTCTGACAAGTATTTGAGAATAGTTATTTACAGCATTTAAAAAAAAACTTTTAAATTAACTAATGATCCATAATTAATATACCGAATATACGATTGTGTTAAGAAAACAATGACACGTTTTGGAATGAACGTAAATGTATGTGTTCGTAAATATCTAATATCGTACGTACCTCTGCAGTAGAATCAGAACGACTCGTTAGAAGTCCAGTGGTACTATCGTAATTAAATGTGATTTCTGATCTACCTTTTTCCGAAAATTTAATGAGATTGCCCGCACCGGATATCACAAGTTCTGATTTATAATCTTGTGAATTTTCTATAGCGCTCACCTGTAGAACAAAAAAAAAAACGTGATTAAATCATTGAGTGTATTAGTACAGATCACATAATTTTTGTAAGTAATGTTTACAATTAACTTACCACATTGCTATAGTCTCTCAAAAATAGCATTTTATTTCCTGAACTATCCGTCACAGTAGATAGTTTTCCAAAACTTGTATTCTTTGAATACAAGAACGTGTACCGTACTTTTCCAGTCATTAAATCATGAGTAGCTGTATGCTGCCCATATCTATTGAAAATGTAAATCTCTCCGGTTGCCGGATACGGTATTTGGTACTCACCGTTCAAATCGTGTGATGGCAAATAGGGTTTTAGTGCAAGAATGTGAAGGTTGCCCTAAATTGTAATCGAACCGATTATATTGTATGCCAGTCTAAAACTAAAATAACCATTTACCTGATCCGCAATATTAAGCACTCCGTCCGGAGATGCTATAATAGCTGATATTGTTGTAAATTTAGCAGTTATAGATAAAAGATGTTCTCTAGACCCGTTTCCGCATTGACATGTTGCGTTGGAGCTGTCACAGTCGCATTGCCTAAACATAATACGCGAAAAGGTATTAATTTTGTTGGTTTTCGGCACAATATAACCTCAACATTGAACTGTATACTTTACGGTATATATATGCATATATATATACACTGTATTATAGACAATGATTGTAAGGAAATTTAAATATTGTATTTATACATTATATGTATCGACTAATGATTGGGTATCTAATTGATAACTATAAATTTTAAAATAAAAAAAATTACACAAATTTATAGCATGATCGATAAATTATTAACCTAGTTATTAATAATCTATTACTTAAAAATAGTTTTAAGATAAAATTCTGATTTTATTTTGTTATTTTTAACATGTCATTATATATAATTGAACATTTTTATAGTAAATAAATAAATAATTTTTGAATTTAAACCCGGCAGTTAATAATTCTATATTCATAATATAATACTGTTTTTGAATGAAATAACGATTAAGTTTTAAAAATATATATATTTATTGTTAAAGATTCACAACTGTGTTATTAATTAAATTCATAGGTACTATTTAAAAAAATCTAAATTTATTTTTAATGCGATCTTATTAACTGTGTGTATAGATGACTACAATTAGAGCGTTGGATTTAAATGTTAATATTTATATTTACTTTTGAGTATTTTGTGCTAGTTGGTAACCAGCAAAGTGTGATATGTATCCAGCTGAATTGACCACCTTAATAGTGTTGACTTTTCGAGAATCACTTTGAGCAATGTATAAATCACCATACGGACTGAAAGTTATGCCTAGAATCGTACCAAGAGATGTCTGAGTAGCTTTCAAAGACTCTGTCATTACTTCTTGGTTTTCATGTATAGTAGGCTTTTTGCCACCCTTGTCCACTTCGTTACCCGAGTAACAATGCAATGGTGAGCCCGCTATGATTTTGACACGGTGATCGTTCGTCACCTTTAAAACCACTCTATCGTCGGTGATGTGCAAACTTTCGTCCAAAGGATTTAGTGCTAAATTTGTAGGCCATTGAAGTTGTACCTGGTGAAATATGATATAATAAGAAGGTTTTCTTAATTCTACTCTGATAATCTTTTCGTACTTGTGACGTGGGTACAGCAATTTTACAAGGCATTGGTTGCCAAATATTATTATGTTTATGATGCCCTATTAGTGTATGAATTATACCATGACGATTTATCACTCTAATATTAGTTCCATCAGCTAAGTACATAGTTCCGTCAGAAGATATTGCAATGCCTAAAAAAAAAAATATGCATATAAAAAATTATGTTAAATTATTATTATTTTTATTTTTTTTTTTTTTATAAGGATTTAATTATTTGATAACATGTTTAATTAAATTAAAAAATTGATGTGAAAAAAAAAATGAAATACTAAAATAATAATTATACAATAGGAAATTGATAATCAAAATTCTCTTATCATTAATATAATATTTTTAATTGGTCATTCGTACAAATATAATCTTAATGATTAGAACTTGGAATAATAAATAAAAATATATCACTTACAAAGTAAGTTTATACTATCAATAACAATGTTTTATAATGTAAACTTTATAAATATTTATTATTTAATTTATTAAAAGAGTTTTACCTGCGATAGAACTAAATGCTTAGACTCTAAACTTTACAGTATTAATATGAAGTGGTGTTTTATTTTAAGAACGAATGTGGTGAATACAAAAAATGTATTTTGAAGACGTAAGGTAACATTTAAGTATTCATTAAATGTACTTATAAAAACAATTTTTTTTTTGTTTTTTAATAAATTTTAGTAAATATATTTTAATTTTTAAATGTTTGTTCTAATCATTTATTGTTTTATTTAACAAACCTTTAGGATTTGATAGTTTTGCTTTGATTGCAGGTCCTCCATCACCACAGCTACTTTGATCACCTGGTATACATCGTTCTCCGGAACCAACGTATACTTCATAATTGATTGTAGGATCCACTACCGAGTTGGTATTTGACACCCGAAGTATTTGATGTTTTTCCGGATCGGAAACGTACAAATGTCCGTCGGTGGGAGATAAACATAAATAGTATTGATATGACACTTGAGTGGCGCTGAAAAAAAAATACACACATTTAAGACTTCTAACAACGTGCATGTTTTAATACGTTTAAAATAGGTACCTGAGCTGTAATACTGTGAACACGTTTCCTTCTGCCGTTAGTTTTCTAATGAGATTGAAGTCTCCGACATAGAGACTGCCATCAGGACCGCTGGCTAATGCTATAGGCGATAACAGTCTTGTGTCTTTGGCGATTCCGTTACAGTCTTTGCAGTTCAACGGCCTTTGCATACCTGTGCCTGTGACGACGTGTAACGTGTGAGGATACTGATGCTTGAAATACAGAATCGAGCCGTCGCCTTTTTGTAAAATTCCTGAAAACCAACAAGTTCTTGTTGAAAACCGTTTTTACGGGTTGTACGTGTGTGGAAAATCAGTTCGGGGCATATCGTCACCATTTAACGGATGACTATTATGGACCGTCCATATATTCGATCAAGTTTTTATTTTAATTACAAGCTATTTTACCTTCGTGGAAGTTATAATGATGATGCACATCTAAGCTCCATCCACCTATGTCTGATATGTCCACGTCAAAACCCTGTAGAACAGCCATCTGTACTTCCCACACTATTTGATTACAAGTCTTATACTCGTAACCAATTAACACTTTAGCTTTCGCGATTCCATACACCTAGGAACGCATTTCATAATGGACATTAAATGTGAAATTTTCTCTTTCATTTGGTAGAAATATAATCTAAAAGTGTGTTACGCACGACGGGAAAATTACCTTTTGTTTATAAACATTTCGTTTATCCCAAGTAAACGTGTACTTTAAGTTGGGATCCGCTTCAAGTACATGATTGTAAATAGAGCCTTCAATTTCAACTGAGATATGCACGACTTTCAATTGAGGTGATATATCAGATTGAGTGAGATGAATAATTAAATACGAATAATACCCAGTTGCCCAACTGCTTCTGTATATTAGGTTCAGATTTGAACCAGGAATACCAATACTTTCTTGAAGTAACTAGAAATAAAAAGTACCAATGATTTTTATTTTTTTAACTATAACTGAATATTTTCACGTATTCTTACTGTTTTTTTGTTTACATAGTTAGAACTTAGGGTGAAATGTGAATTACATTTTTATTTGCACCGTATTGAAAGTTTTTATTAAAAAAACAAAATCGAATCTACAAGTTAATTGTAATATTCCAACTAATCCATCTCGCTACTGTAACTTTAAACTTTGTTGTATCCAAGGTCACTACATCATAACCGAAACCACTATTTAATCTTTTTCTTTACCTATTTTCCTTGGGTGTTGTCGAAACAACTATTTATTAAGTTACTTTAATATTGGAAGACAGGTTATTATTTAATATGTTAAACGGGTATATTTTATTAGTATAAGCGAATGAAAATATTAATATTATTTTTATTATATATTATATATTAATTTTCCTAGTTCTCGACCACTTTATGTATTATGCCCAAATATCTGCGTATAAATATGGACGTAGTGTCGATACTTATTTAGATATAATGTAACCATACTTATGTGTAGACCGGTACTGTTAATCTTACAGCATTAACTCATCGGACTATCAGTACATTTTATCTCAGTATAAATAAATTTCATTTATAAACTTAAAATTGTCTATTTATTATTACTTCAAACTTATATCATCGAACGTGTGAACAGCAACAAAGGTGACTTTGTCGTTAAAACGTTTTAAGTCAATCTTTAATCAGACCGGCTCACTACAACTTTACTAACGTATTAAATTTTACCTGCGTTTCAGCGAATATAACACTTTTTCCAGGCATTCCTCCGATTTTCTCTGGCAACCATGTGGATATGATCTGTGGACTTTCCTTATGATGAACGCACGGTGTTACATTGTACATGTTTTGTTCGTATAAACCTATAGCGGAACATGAGATTTCATGAAAACGCGCGTCGTATATTGTTTCAGATTATTAATTAACGGCCATACCGTTGGTGTCCATCGGAGGTTCCTTGAACGAATCCATGTCATCGTTTATGGTCATTTTTATCGGCGGTAAAGATACGATCTGGTTCCAGGGTACGTATAACGTTTTGGTCTGAGGCCTAAACGGGCTACGTTGGAACTGGAGGGTCACCGCTTCGCCACCGTTGACCATCACGTCGAACCTAAGCACGTAAAGTGACAATTATAATATTACGTGTAGAAAAGTAACCGGAGACTTCATGGCGATCAATTTTATTTACCATCCACCAGTTCTGGTTAGCGTAAATCCAAATCTTGAATCTCGGTCCACAGACACCCGAATGCCTATAATTCCTAACCCTTGTGGCGATAACACTTGGCCCCGCACTACGGATACGCGTCTAGAGAAGAAACATATTTACATTCAATACGCAGTTAATACTGAACATCACAACAAAGTCATCATCAAATTGATTAGGTACTTTTTTTATTTTTCATTTTTTTTTATCTTCCTGTTGATTAATCAGTTGATAAATCAATAATTATATCATAAATAAAAATAGTTTATTATTGTTTATAATTCAAATTATTTTTAATTTTAACCATTCTTAATTGCGTGTTGAAAATAAATCAACATACTTAAATATTTTATCATAATTTTTTATCCGTTAATTGTATTATTTAAATATTTTAACATTAGTAAATTATCAAGTCACACGGGCCTTTTCATAATATTATTATTGAACATAAAACAGTAGGGACACCAAACTAAACACATTTATATAATTGTTTATAAGAAAAAACTTATCAGGTATATTTTTATGGATTAATTATCGGCTAAGCATTAAGCACTCATGACAAAAAAAATTATTATTATTGGGAAATATTGAAACAATACATTATCAAATTTTACATCGTCTTCGTATCAAGTTTTTAATATTATTATTATAATAAATAAAGTTTAAGGAAGGTTGTAATAGAAAAATAAAATAAAATAACATGGATTCAATAAAACAATTATTTTATTTTTTTTATGATATTTAAAATGTTCGTCTTAAAACGTTTACTAACGTTTTATATTAGTCTATTTATGTACTAAATTTGTATATTTAATAATTATCATTATTCATCTTTGATGAATCATATTTTGGACAAATAATATTTTAATATCGCTTTTCACTAATTTTTTAACGATGAATATTTATGACTCTAGAATTTAAATTTTTAAATTTTACAATTTAAATCGGCCTTGGCTCATTTAAAAAAATTAAAAAACCTTTGCCGATGAATAAATTATTAAACAACAGTATTAATAATAGATTATTTATTTATTTTTGTTAATTAGTATTAATCAAAACGTTTAGTCTTAATCCCATATTTTTAGAAAAAGTTCTGGTCAAGAAATATAGAAATATTACCACTGTAATAATTATTTATGAGTTTGAACTTCAATGCTTAATGAGTCTGAAAATGTCTACTCGTGGTTGATTTTTACAACACGATGAATTAAAAAAATGTTAATAAAACGAACAAAATATCAGTCGACTATATGTAGTTTGAGTATTGAACGTTCAGTTCCTGTTTAATGTACCTAATACTCATGTAATAATATGTACAATTGTTTTTATACACGGCGAATATTTGGGTGGTGCACAAAAGTATAATATTATGAAAATACCATTAGTGTGACACGATAAATATAAGATAAACACATATTGAAAATAAAATAACGGAATCGAACAGCGAAACAGTTGGTAAATCTAAAATATTCAATGATAATAGTATTAATAATAATAAAAATTATAATAATAATAATAATAATAATAATAATAATAATAATAATAATAAAAATAATAATAATATAAAATCTAAAGATAACAGAAGATACAAAAAAGACATCACAAATTAACAAGCAACATTTACAGGCGCGTGGAATAAATAGTTGATTTATTTCCAATTCGGCTTTTGGCTTTTTATAACAATTTTGCATTGGATTAAAAATAAGTACACCATTAAATGTATACATGGACTTAATGGATGATAAGAGAAAATTGTTGTTACAGCTGCATGTGATTTGTTTGTAATGAAAAAAAGAAGTCCATTCATTAAATATTATCAATGCTATTTGTTTTAAAGTATTTATTTCTAACCGTGAGTATTGATTTATCATCGTATTGTTAGTCGTATTATTAACATGTACATAAACGATTTATAGTAGTTGATTAAAAAATATTGAAAACGGTCATTATTTTAAACTGTTAATAAGATATAAATTAATAATTTATACGTATATATATATATTTACAATAATATGTTACAACATTATACGTTCACATGCAAGAAGCGAAATACTTTAAAAAAGCATAAATTAGACATAAGCAACGTGTTTATAAGTATGTTAATTATGACCAATATTATGTAAAGTTGTGTGCAGTTTTAAAAATTATTTTTACTGTGTAATATACAGTAAAGTTAATAATATCTTACATGCAGAAACGCAGTATTGTTAAATTTTGATTTTTTTGTCTTTTTTAAATACACAAAAACACATTTACGGATATACATTAATGCATTTAATCTGTAGATAAGAAAAATAATGAAAACTTGTTGCAGCAGCATCAAAACACTTCAAATGGATCGTTCCGATCACAATACACAGAAATACATGAAAATCATTGACCCGATCAAATTATACAATTATAATACTATTCTACAAACAAATTAATTCAAATCTAATAATTGTTCAACATAAAATAAAATACACTTATAATGCGTATTATATATGATGGTCGTTTTGCGAAATGGTCAACTCTCAAATCTAGTTTATAATATTCGATGTAAGAATTTTGAAGTGTAGAAACAAAAAAATTTCACACAAAAAGTATCTCAACATTTAATTAGAATATTTAAATAAACGTATATTAAACGTATTTTAAATAAAAGTATAATTAAACGTGAAATCACAATATTCATGAAATCGTAGGGAGCTGCCTATACTACGCATTAAACAATTGTTCGGCTTAAAAGTTTAAGGCAGCAGCATGGTACAAACTAATATTAAAAATGATCATCTATTAGTGATGTATTTTTTTTTTTTTTTATTACAATCTTAAGTTTACATAGTAATCATGAAGTAACATCGCGTATGAGGAAGACAAAATATACAACTCTGATATTATGATGGATGATGAAAATAAAATGTTGATGAAAAATATTAAAAGTTATAATCAACATACATAATAATATATAACAACAACAATGTCATTATTATATTAATTTAATATTATTTATTATATCATATATTGATACAGCGCACTCGTATCGATCCATCTCTCATAAAAATTTTAATTGTGTATATATTCTTAATTTTACTTTATTTTTTCAATTAAAATAAATAAATAACTTATAAAACAAAATATATCAGTGCTAAAATATTTGCTTCTAATGCCTATGCTAAATACTACTGGACGACACATATAGAGACACATATGACACAAAAACAAAATTTTAGATACCTGTATACTGTAAACATATCGCAAGAGCATCAGCTGAGGTTATCTGTATTATTATTAAACTAACCAAAATGTGTATAATATAAAAAAAAAAAGGCATACAATTTTGATCAACAACGTAGATTTTTGTATTTCTTTTTTTTTTTTTGTCTTTCATTGTTATAATTTATGAAGTAGTGTAATATAATGTTCGTTTACATTTTGCAGGTGGAGTTTTACTTTAGCATAATTATATATATAAATATATTCTTATTAATCATTAGTCACGTGTTTTAATCCCGCAAACGACATCGACACACACACATATATATGTATATTTGATTACACAATATATTCCCATGCTGTTACCTTATACTTTCATTTGATTATTTGTCTCATTAATAATATTCAACTGTTAACCGGATAATACAGTTCGTAATTAATTTACGAGGGAAAAAGTTTGTGTTAATTATAGGCAACAAAATTCTACTCATTCTTGATGAAGTACCAAAATAAAAAACAAGTCTTAAATTAATCTGGGTTAAAAATTTCGCAAACAACAAATTATAAAATTATCATATATTGTTATAATCAATTAATCATTTCTTAATTTGTTTACCAAAATGAGAACAAAATGATGAGCAATCTGACTATATGTGCTGTCAGAAAAAAACCAAATACAAGCTTTATGAAATATTAAAAAAAATTTAAAAAAAATAAAAACCAAAAACAAAATTACAATTTATAATTTGTAAACTTACCCAGGTGTAAAGGAGTTCCAAAAGTCACTATGGTACATATTCGTTTCGAAGTGTACGAGGACGGACAATAGAAAAAAAAAGAGAAAGAAAAAGAGAAGGAATATTACCAAAATACTATTTTAAAATATATAAACAGATTTATATATATAAAAAAAACATCTTATCGACTAACTTTTATAAGTTTTAGACATCTTAAACAAACCAAGTATAGAAATCATATAAAATCTATTTAACCGACCCAGCCGAAATGTTATAGACATTTTCCAATTTATACACAAAAGTGTGGCGGAGTTCGTTGGTTAAGACATGATAAAATATATGGCTTTTTTATTTCTTCAGTTCTCAAAATGATTTGGTCGAATTAACAAACATTTCTAAACATTAGATTTGTTTAAGATGCCTAAGATTAATTTTTTTAAATATTAAATTATGTCGTTCGTAGATTTATGAAAAAAATTAGATACTTCGACCTACTAAAATATGTGTTGCGTGTTTCAATTTTATTATTATTTTGATAATTGAATCAATACAATAGTATACCGTCTTAACAGCGTTAAAATTATTTTATTTGGTTGGTTTTTTTTTCTTTTGAAATTCTATAACTGATGACCAAAACGAACTCCACCTGCATTTTGAAAATTCCCGTAATGCATGTTTTTCTCATGTCGATCTTGATATGCTCATAATATCAAGCTTGTCGTTTCACAATAACGTAATTAAGTATAATGTAAAATATACGTAAATATATATGTATATAATATTTTATGTACGTATATAAAATATTGTTTGCCGAAAGCCAAGCCTTTTGGAACAACATTTATATTCAGAAAGGATACTACACAGGCAGCTACTTATTACAAATAAAGTAAGAAATGAGTCACAAGTATCTTTTTTTCGAGACGTACACAATGGAATTTTGACATATCTATGTAATAAAAGCGTTAACACACACAACACAGTGTTGAAAATAAAAAAATAAAACAAGTAAAAAAAAAAAAAACATAAAATAAATAAAATATAGTAAAATCCCAACCAATCTCATACACCTTAACATATTATTATTATTTCTTCACGGTTATTGAAGATTTTATTTCAATACAATAAAATAAAATGTATAACGAAACAAATAATTATTGCGATTGGGATTACAACGAAGCTTATGAAAATATTCCTACTATTAGATACAATATAGTTGTGCACGTTTTCGATAGGGTCTAACAATCCAGCACTTGGCACTCGATCAAATATTTCTAAATTACTTATTTTTGGAAGATATAAGGATATTCTATCTTAAATTGTGTAAATCGATAAAACAAAACAAACGATATTTATTTACAGAAAATCCATTTTTTTGAACGAATACCAGAATTATTGAAATACTACAATTCAAGAACCAATCAATTATTACTTTCCAACAAAAATGAACCGTTGAACTTGTTCTTATGATTTCAGCCCAAGACACACTTCCATCATTGTATCCAATTCCAGTATCATTTATAATTATGTGCAATAATACGTAAATAGTAAATGGTCTATCTAAAACAGTTTTATATTTTCTAAATCCCTATTGAGTAGAATATGTCGTTTAATATGCGGACAGTAGAATAGCGTTACTATTGTAACATTAAGTTTTTCACATTGAAAAGTATTCAGAAATTGTGTTTACCGTGTGAATCATTATACATTTCTTCTAACATAGTGATTGAAATATATTTTTATGTATGTATAGGTGTATTGATGTGACCAAACACTTACCTCTCGCTGTATTCGTCCAAATGCGCATAGCTCTGGACACTGTGCTCTTCTACCAAAAATTTCACCCTTTGATAAAACGAAGCAGTCACCGACGGTGGTTGTTTCCTTAGTAATACATCGAGCGGATCATTGGACGCTAAGCACATTATGTGCTCGGCACAAGAGGGAGAACTACAGCATTCACTGTCCGAACAATCAGTCATGCCATCTAAACGATACCGAGTGATTATTCGTTTAAATTTTTTTTTTCCACCCCGTGGAAAAATATTCTACTGTTACAGTTCATTGTATTAGTGGAATGCGAAAACTAATACAACGCTTCGTGTGTTATAGTTAAAAACATAGAGTTGATAATAATAATTTGATTGAAATTACGGATTTTATTATTTTTTTCTAATCCATGTCTTATGTGTTATATTAAATTCAATATACATAAGTAAAGTACCTTGATCATTGTCGATTTCGTCACTGCATTCCATTTCCAGGCGAACGGAACAACTTTCCCCTTCCCATCCATCGTCACAAACACAACTGTACATATTATTAGCCAAAACGCAATTACCATGATTACCGCAACCGTTATTGCAACCCTCTAAAAAAATAAAATGAATATAATCGTATAATTTACAGGTAACTTATAGCGTAGCACTCGCAGAACCATTTCGATTACATACTCGAAAATTGAATCAAAACTGTCGTAACTTACGAAAAGTGCAATGTTTGCCATTCCATCCTCTAGAGCACACACATGTTCCGTTTCTACATTGTCCGTGTTCTAAACATCTTTCGTCACAAGGAAGTTGGTCACATTTATCACCTGTCCACCCGACATCACATTCACATTTACCTTGATCGCATTTGCCGTGCGCCCCACAGTTAAGATTGCATAATGCTGGAACAAAAACCAAACATTATTTTACAACCAAAAAAACCACGAGTTTTAATGGTATGTATACATGGTATAATTTTAATGGTAGTATACAAATAATGATCCTACCTTGTGAACAATCCGGCCCAGTCCAAAATTGATTGCAAACACAAACTCCCGTTTCCAAGTCGTACGCACCGTGATCCGAGCAACGGGGAAGACATTGAAACACTTGTTTGTTCATCAGTGAACAGTCTTCGCCCTGCCATCCAGCCTTGCAATAACATTTGCCGGACACGCATATTCCGTGTCCTGAACAACTCTTATCCATACAGTCCACTAGATAGAAGGAAAATAATTTTTATACTTCAATAAAGTTATATATTTTTTTTTTTTTTTTTAGTATGCATAGGCGCAACTAGAGCTCTATTTCTGGATGGGCTACATTTTAATGCTATCACTAACTCGCTTCACCCACATACCCCCATTATTGATTATCAACACTAATATATTTATATTTATATTGCTGAGAAGTCCTTACCTGTAATGGTTAATAATTACTTTCAAAGAAGAATTTTTTCACTTACAGACTAGCTACCTAAATAAATTTAAATAAAAAAGGATAAAAATATGTAATTGATAAAATATACAGTTCTGGCTATTAAATATTTATTACAAAATTAAATTAACATTATTTTTCTGTCCTTTTCTGCAAATTTGTTTAAAATATCATCCAAATTTACTTTGTTAGTTATATCTCTTTCTATATTCAAAATAGATAAAAATGTAAAGCGATCTTGTGCCATGGAGGATCTTAGCCAATTTTTTATTCGTCTCATTGAAGAAAATTCACAAGTGGCTGAACTTATGGGAATAGATAAAGCCACTTATAACAATTTAAAAAGGTTCGGATATGTTTGTTTTTCAACAACTTCTTTTACATCATTCAAATTGAAATCGTTTACACTATACTGCGATATAATACAAATTAAAAACACCTTACAGTTTATAAACTAAAATTAATTATAATCAAAACTCTCAGCGATAACAAGCATTGAGAAACGCAGCCTGCAAAACAAATATCACGGACCACGGTTTTCAATTTTCTTATCTTATTCTAAGACCATCAATACGCATGTTTATTGTTTATGTACAACATTTACGACACGGGCTAGTTATATACTCTTCGTCCGTGATTAGCGATAAAATGTTCATAAAATGAACCTGGATTATTGATAATTAACCGTAAATAATAAAATGTTTGATAATAATATAATGAAAATATTCATATTATTGATAAATTTAAACTTCTAAAGACAATAAACCGTTACACAATACACATAACTAATGGGATTCGGGAATTACACATTACGTTCAAAAACTGGGTGGGCTACAGACAAAACTGGGTAGGCTAAGCCTACCCAAGCCCCCCCTATTTGCGCCTATGTTTCTATGGATCAATCACTAAGCAGTACCTTCATTACAGTCATCCCCTTTCCATCCCTGTTGACATTGGCATTTACCATTTTTACAAACACCGTGCCCGGAACAGTCGGCCACTCTACAATCCGTTTCTGGGATGTCACATTCAGTACCCTTCCAACCTTCTTCGCAATGGCAAAGACCTCCACCATATTTCCCGTGATTAGAACATAACATCGGACAAACGCCTAAATAAACGTAAATAATATATAAATACATCGTGTTTATGATACCTATCTACTATGTATCAAAAGAGCGCATAATATATGGTTAATTAAATCATTTACTTTTAGAACAGTCATTCCCTTGGTATCCATCAATGCAGTCACACTTTCCGAGGTAACAAGAACCGTGCCCGGAACATTCGTTGGGACAGGTCGTCGAAACGTCTTCAGCTTCTGCAATCTTGAGCACTACCGTGTGCGGTCGAAGGTCGTCATTGTAAATCGACAAAAACCATCGACCCGTGTCCAAATACTGGATTAGAGTTACATTAACGACCATCGGATCCTTTTCAGTCAAATCGGCTGATCTGCGACTGAGCCTGTTGTCTAATCTGCCTCCTTTGATAAACTCCGAAAAATCGTGTTGCGTTATGCTGGGCGCTACGTTCCGTCGACCATACACCGCGAAATTGGCTCCCCATGGTAACGTCAGGTTAAGTCTCATGAACACTGGTTGCTTGTTGTGAAACTCCAAGTTCCAAAAATGGTACGGATATACGTTGGAACTGTACGGAGTACTGAAACTGGTTATTTCCAAAACCGAAGGCCATTGATACCTTGTATACTGTCGGTGCAAATCATTTCGATCATCTGGAGGCTCGTCGTTGCTAAGTTTTTTTGATATATTTGCAACAGTAGTAGTGCTCAACGGTGGTACTAAAACAAAACGAGTTATGTTCAGTTCGGAAGAAATAAGAGTATTACGTAAACGAAGAAAAATTAAAATCAACGTTGAACCTGTTACGTGAAATGCTAAGTCATAAATAATGAATTCAAATTAATTGATTTGATTCATGTCATATCATCAGTATAATTGAGGACAGAAACTAATTTTCACATGATATTGTGTGTACTATTTGCACTATAGATCTCGATTGAAAACGTGATTCATATGTATGTGAACACGGAATCCATGAACACGCAATTAAAAAAATTATATTCACGTATACTGAATACAACGGAATTTAATATACGAGTACACGTGTTTTAGAATATTGGTCTATTTACGTATTCACAAATTTTTTATCCATCACATGTATTGTTCACCGAGATCTATAATGGTTTTATTATTTCGTTTGAACGATTATTAAAATGTATGACAATCAGTATTACCTATGTATTTACAGTGTTACTTTATAAGTGGATAATTTTATTGAGACGTTAAATCTCAAATAAAATCAATTATCGAATACACAAACAAGTTTTTACCCATCATGGATATTAACTCTACATGGGCGTAGGTAAGTGAGGAGTTTTGGGTGTTCAAACACTCCCCGAAATAGTTCGAATTGTCATTGATTCTTTTCTTCGCCAAAATGCTAAGAAGGAATTTAACCAAATATTTATAACGACTTCAAAAACTTTAACTGATGTTGATGGCACAATGAGTGTACCAAAATTAAAAAAAAAAAAAAAAAATTAATCGAGACAATTATTAAGATTCTACGCCAGAAGAATATTATAGAAAAGCACTTTTTATACCATTTCTTGATCATTCTATAATAAATTTAAAAAGTAAGTTTGAACAGCATTAGGATTTAATTTTATATTTTCAAAATATTATACTGAATAATGTTGTTTTTAAAAATGAGAAATATATTATTAATTTATGGTATTTTTACAAGACAATAATTTTGGATCATCAACAGTTTAATTTGGAATATTTACTGTAGAAATCCAAATGGATAAGAGAAAAAGAAGATTGTAGACCATACTCAACACTTAAAGCATTTTTAAAATGTGATTCTGAATTTTTTCCAAATATAAAACAATTGTTAACTATTATTTCTACACTTCCCGTATCAATTACTACTGCAAAAAGAACTTTTTCAACATTACGACGTATTAAATTATATTTGAGAAATTTGACAAAAAATGAAAGATTTACTGGACTTTGCTAAGCGTTCATCGTGAAATTAATATTGACCAGAAAGAAGTAATCAATATTTTTAAACTTCAACTAAGAAAACAAGGTTTTATCTTATAATTTTTTTTTATATTTTTAAATTTGTAATTTATATGGACAAAATATTGTGTTGGTATTCAATTGTATTAAATAAATAATTCATATTTAATTTTAATGTTTTATAGTACTCATATAAATCTAGACCAAAACCCCCTCCAAAAATATTTCCCACCTACGCCCATGCGACTCTATAATTTATAATAATTATTATTAAAATGCTTAATATAAAGAATAATCCGAAGAGAATCAAACTGCCAAATAACTAATTAAGTATAAAAATAACAAGTATACAGTAATAACAGAGAAGTATTACGAAAATCAAAAAATAATACTTTTATAACTTTTAATTATTAAATATTTGTGTATTAAAATTTCACAAAGAATAAAAATTAATTTATAGTTAAAAATTATTCTCATAATTATTTTGACGTTTAAAAAAAAAAATATACTAACTTTGTAATGCTCCTAATACTCGTGTATAAAAATATAAATTAAAATTAATAGTGTATAGACTATAACATTAAACATAAATCATTTCATTGCAAAATATAAATATTTTTCATGTCATATTTTCGAAACTTTTAAATAAGAAAAATAAATTAATAAAATTTGATTAAAGCAATTTAAGAAAATGATTTTTTTTTTTTTAAATTCTAATTTATATTCCTAGGAAAATAAAAGACTAATTTTAATCAAGTTGTGTAGTTTGACATTGACTGTGATTTATTTCATATTTGCACTAGTTGCTACTACTAATTAGTTTTCATTATATGAGTCAGTTTTTCACTTGGCGTAACAAAATTAATTAGTATACAAATAAGTGAAGTCATTGATTATTTAGTACAGTACACAGTGTTGATGAAAAAGTGAAACTCCAAAACTTGTTTCTGGACTAACGCAGTTCGGAAGTTCTACAGACGAATGACATTTATTCCAATATTATACATAGAATGTTACTGATGTGTACGACAATGACCGGTACTTGACTAATTTAGATAAGACAGAATACAAGATTTGTATACCTTCAGTAGTGAGTTTTAATGGGTTTTCTAAATCCATGGCGATGTCCCGCGCTTTTTCCATAAAAACACATTTTTCTCTCGTGTCTGTACATGATTTCTTCACCGCTATTATTACAAAATAAACCTCAGTCAATCACTGTTGATACTTGAGCGAAGCGTTTACTCACCCATCGAATAAATAAGAAATGTTGTGATCACAAAGGTCACAAATACCAACAGTAAAAAACTGCATTTCCAAGTACATTTTAAATTGCATTTTTGCTGTATCTCTTGAAATCTTGAAGTCGAATATGGCGAATATTGTGAACTCAGAGCCGTGGACCTCAATGGAAAAACTGGAACAGGCGGATTAGCCCTGGAGTTTGTATTGAGCTCACCAGGGAACATCATTATGAATGACTTTATACTATAAATATTAACATGGTGATCCTTTATTCATCGTTAAATCCTAAAACACACACAAATAGAAATAGTTTTTAATAATTTATAATACAATTTTAATAATTGACACGATAACAAAATTAACATTTAACATATATTTAATAAATATGACAAGTAGCATTGTAAAAGTATGAATTTATATGAAGTTTAAAGTAAATAATAACTACAAAAATAACAGAAAATAAAATAACAATGTAATATGTATTATACTACGATATAGTGCAATAAAAAAATTATATACGATAAATTCATTGTTCATTTGTTTTTATTTCTATTTATCACATTTACTAATATTTTAATAAAACATTTAATATTAAAAACCAATTGATTTTAATTGTTTATAAAACACTTGTTCAACATACAATTATATAAAAATACAGAAATTAATGTCCTATAGGTTATACATATATTATCAATTAATTGGTATTCATACTCTTCAAGTTCAAAGCGTAGCCTTTAGTTTCAAATAGAACATCATTAATGTAACTGAATATATATACTTAAAATTTAGGTATGTTATAATTACATAAAATGATTATGCATTGTACAAGCCTATATATGAATAAATTGCTCTGAATTTTGTTACTAAAAAAAAAATAAAATAAAAATACGTTCTATTTTTAAAACCTCAATTGTATTGAAATATCGCACAATTGTTCTTAGTTTATATATTCTTTAAAAAAAAGTGTAGCCAAAATAAACAATATTCTACACTAATTTTGAAAGTATTTTTACACACATATTTTTATTAAGACTTTATCATACTACTTAATGAAAAGAAAGTTATCATCTGGGTTATTAAAATATCGTATAACCAACAAATAATAAACCAACTAAAAGTATATTTTCTTGACTTTATATAGAAATCGGATTGTATTCCTTTCATAAGTTTGAGTATGAATAATTTTTTAAAGTGACAGTAACAGCGATAACTTTTGAGTAGACGAATCGAAACGTGCCTCACATTGATTTTTTTATTTATTTACGAAGTATTGTATGTATACTTTTGACTAATAATAATTTGATGAAAAAAAATGTGAATCTTCCACCAATAATAGCATAAAGAAAAATATTGCAGTTCCCAGATATGATTTGATAAGAAGTCAAATATTTTATTAAATGTAAATGTAGAACTGGTGAATCATGAATACATTTTTTTTTTTTTCAGACGAGTGCATGTTATGATAAAAATACTGTTAAAGTTTTTGAATCGAAACAATAATATGCCGTATCCTATGACAAATGTTCACAAAGAAGATGAAAAAAATAAGATCGCAGTACAAAAAACATACTAAGTAGAAAATAAGCCAGCACTTTCGTATATTATTGTAATATAGTGGGTGACTTGATTGAAATACGTCTGAGAAAAGTCGTTTTAATAATAATAGAGTTTCATTTTATAGAACGGGAAGAAATTTCGTAACAATCCTGTCGATAATGGATCGGTAGCATTTATTTTATTTTTTTTTTTTAACGTGTACGACAGTGAGATTGAATAGAGAATCAGTTTCTGATTCAATAAAGCAAAAACTACCGAGCTTACCTTTCTACTACCTTTTTACTTCGAGACGGGGACTTATTGAAACTGTATTTGGTGTCTAAATAACATTTATAAAATATAGCCCTCGGGTGATCCATTTATGTACTCCGAGTTCATTTTGCGATTTTTGTTTTTATTTTTTCGTCTTTGTTTATACGCATTCTCTAACTAATTTCAGTCTAGGAATTATGAATAATATTAATTTATATCCTTCAACTGATATAAAATCGTATATATTCAAATATTACAAGACACCTTTTAAACAGAGAACTCATACTTATTTGTAAAATAATACTTTGTTTAAAAATTTATAATATAATTAGGAGATAATAAGTTATATAAACGATTCCTTCAATTTAAAAAAAAATAAATGCAAAATAAATAGAAAACACAACACAAGTTGTCTTCAAAAAATGCAACAAAATAAAGTATACTTGAACCACAGTCAACAATATTAATAATAAATAAACAATTTAATGACAGTAAAATATTTTTAAGAATATTTGATTTAATCTAAATAATATTGTTTTTATATCTTGATTAAAATAGTCATTTTTTTGTTTCATTTTTCAACTTAAAAGTGCCTAATAAAAAAAAATAATAATCAATATTTAATAAAAAAAAATGCCATTTTAGTGAATAAAAAATGTTATTAAAAATGTTTAACAATAAATAAATACGATTAATACATTTTTTAGTGAAATTTGATGATTTTTAAAAATATTATAAATTAATTATATAAACTTAAATCTGAACGTGTTAATAAAATGCATTTGGGCATTCGTAATATTAATATTATAGGTGTGGATAATTTTTATCTACTTAATAATTAGTAGCATTTTTTTGTTATACCTATACTGTAATAAATAAAAATTAGTATAAATGTTTCAATATATTTTTATAAAATTAAAATTATCTTACTACGTGTAATTAAAACAGTTATTTAAAAATAAAACAATTGCCTAGAAAAAAATTATTTATTTAAATTTAAAATTTTTTTATTAATTATTTTAAACGATTTGGATGTGTATAGAAATAAATAAATAAAAGCTTAGTCTTAATCAATTTAAAGACTACAAAAAACTAAATGTAAAGAAAATACATATTGCACTAATTGGTTTACACCAAACCGTTTATATTTAAGACAATAATACAATTAAAGATAAATCATATAGCAATACGCATAAAAGTATTATGCGTAGAAAGTTCTTTAGATGCTACAAGTTTCAAATAAGTATTTATTATACTTCAACCTTAAAATAAACTAAGCTTAATAAGCTTTTTTTCACTCGGTTTACTTAGCTCAATTATGTAGAGGAAAAAATGTAAATCAACTAAAATAATAATCCATGTTCCCAGGGACGTGCTAGGAAATAAATTTTTTCTCTAAGGGAGTTTCAACAATTTTATTACAACGTATTTCAAATGTATTTATTTCACAAAATAATAATTTTGGTAATAATTAATTTTATACTACTAGATAGATCGATAATGGATTATATAAAGAACCCTGTCAAATGTTGATGATATTAATCTTAAATCATATAAAAATATTAAAAAATACTTTTTTTACTAAATTTGTAAAACTTTCAAGGGAAAGTTAAACTTCTGAACCTCCAAACCTCCTCTAGGCACACTTCTGTATACACCACATACCTAATATAACTAAGGAATATGTTAAGATGCTTAAGAGGAAAATATTTATTATTTTTGCAACTCAAGGTATTCGACAATTAAATTGGAACTCCTTAAATGTTTGCTACAATACTATTTAATCATACAATCTACCATATATACATGTATATTTATAGTTTAGATTTATAGATTATACAAGTTCTATAATTAAAAGATCAATGTATAACCATTTAGGAATGATGACCATAAAATATATAATCCAATATAACAGATTTACTACTTTATCTTGCACCACAGGTATTTCTAAATTTATTTTAGTTTTTATAATTAGTATTTAGTCCCATGTGCGCGATTAAGACAGTCCGGTGTATGTTATAATCTCTGTCATATCTCACGAAGGGCTAATAATAATATTTTATTCTTATCATAACGAGAATTACATCTGGTTATCTTAGCCAGTCGTTCCTATTTTAAAGTAAGAAGTTGAAATAAACGTCTACCGTTATCTTTCTATTACTAACTCAGTAGCTAAAATACAGCTTTAAATCCGTGCACTTTTTCTTCTATACCATGACTGTTTTTAAAAAAAATATATATATACTACGTACGTTCGTCAGCTTAAACCCGTAAATGAACAATTAAATAACTGAATGTTTATTTGATTGTTTGACATTCATTCAAAGCTTGTGAGCACATGCGCTATTGAAAAATAACGATGAAAATAATCAAAGTTAAAATAACATAATATTGACAGCAATGCTAAGTCCAGATGAGTTATTAATCGCATTTCACTGTCGTTAAGTCACTGGAACGTTGACATTACAAATCTGTTAGCCTGAGGTAATTTCTATTTGACCTCCTTCAATAGCCTAGCTATGGGTTATGATGAGAGAGAGCCTTTACCCTTAGTTAATTCCAAGAACTGCCTAGGGTTCGGTCAAATTGATTTGACTTATTGTTCGTAGTGTTATTCACTATTAGCGTTTCTGTGCATGATTTAATCATTTGTTATTACGACCATTGGTTGTATTGCAAATCAACCAGACGTACGAGTATAATATAAGATTTAATTTTGAGCATTTATATAAATCTATTTTCATAATAAATGTTGCATAAAAATAATTTATCGTCAATGAACCATCGGTGTAATATTATTTTCACATACATGTTGTTATCTATTAGTTCATTACACGTTTACTTCCATGAATAGTAATTCTAATGAGTAGTTTGTTCCAACTAGATATTGTATTTCAAATAAATTTTTAGTGTCATAATATCATGTTGTTATAATAATTAACTATGGCAATTCTTTACATCGAAGGTCTTTGTATATACCTAACTAATTATAAAAATAAATAAATATAGTATTTATTTGAAATAAAAAACATAATAATACAACGTTATTAGTTACGTTAAAATGTTTGCATTATAATTTATAATTGGTTTTTACCTCTATACTGTGAATAGTAACACTTTTATTCACCATATATTACTAATGAGCCCCGAATTATTTTGTAAATGAAATAATTTGTAATTCGTTATTTAAATGTTTCTGCGTTGTATTATTTTTGTTTTTTCCTTTGTGTAATTAATCAAATGTATTTAGTTTAAAGTAAGATTTTAATTAAGTAACATGTAATTAGATACATATTGATTTGAAAAAAACAGAATTAAACAGTATGGAAAATTGAATGTAAATATTAACATTTTTATGTATATATTAACAGAATTGTTTGTATAAATCCAGATGTTGGTTGAGATACTCCCATTTAAT